TTTGATCCCCGGTACCGATAAAAAAAGGAAAAACACAAAAAAACTACAAAAAAAAAGTCTCCTTGATAACTTTCTCATCAGTGACTGAGGTCCAGAAAAATTCATTCTTTCTATTGTCCCCTTCTCTCCTCAGCCAGTCCCGGGTCACCCAGTGGCCCCCTGGCCCTTACTCCCCAGCTTCTCCCTCTGTGGCTGGCTGCAAAAGAACTCAAAATGTAAAGGTGTTCTTGCAGTGCCCATCTGGCTTAGGGTCATCTTTGCCCAACATGGCCATACTTTGGCCTTCACTGACCCTCATAATACAGCACTCTCTGCTTTTTTTATTTTATTAATCATAGGGAAAGGGAAACAAGGATTTTAGTAGATGTCTTTTTTCCTGTGATGCCCTCTGTGACTTTTATTTTCAGCCAAACAGAACTGTGAGTGAATACTGATCTCTTTGATCTTCAGGATCCATTTATCCTGAGCTTCCAAAGGTATTCTGTGACATCTCCAGGCTTCCTTTGCCTGTTTCATTTATTATAAGACCACAAGTAATTTTTTCTCCTCCCTCTATCTTCCTAGCAGAGGGAGGCTTCCTGGCTTCAGGTCACGATATTCCTCCCTTCCTCTGACAAGTGATAGGGCAAGTTACTGCAGTAATCCACCACCAGATCAAGCTCACAAGTGTGTTCCACCAGTGCCAGTTCCCTTGTGCTTTCTTTTCTCTCTGGGTTCAACCCAGTTGTTTTGCCAAGTTGGTGTTTCTCTTCTACACACACCTCGCTGCATCCCACTGGTACCCATGAACAAGTTCATTTCTTCCTTCAAGCATCTCTTTGCAGCCTCCAGGCTTTAACATCCTTATTCAGTCCCATTTTTCCTGCTCAAAAGGGACATTGTTAGGTTGAAAGTGCAGAAGCACAGACTACATCAGTGCAAGTCTTGGCTGGTCCTTGCCATTTTGTTATGCACATCCACCTTCCTTTCAGGCCTCCAGCTTCTGTCTGCCCTGCATTCTTACATCCTTGCACCACACCTTCTGATGGGCAGTACCCGTTCTCTTCTTTCTGTAACTGCCTGTCATACTTTGTCCTCAGAACTTCTCATCTGAAGCCCCAGTGGCCCCTGAGAAGCCACGGAGAACCAAGATTCCCCCTGTCCTTCGCATCTTGACTTGTTATTTCAGTCTCAGGATAATAGAAGGGTCTGCTCGCTTGGCAATTCAGGCTTCCTGCTTATGCCAGCCAGTCCTCTCTGACCATCTCATCCAGCTGAGTAGTCCTGGCTTCCCATTCAATTTACACAACAGCCTCAGCCTCAGCCTCCTTCAGGTTGAACAGCCTGACACCTTAGGAGCAAGGTTGCATCAGGCAAGTCAAGACTGGCCATCCTTCTAGGATGCTTGTGTCTGGGTCGTTGAGGCTCCTTTAGCCCACACACTCAACGATCCCTCTGTCTCTTCTGAGGGAAATGTAACCAGGGAAGAGGAGGGGGACACGCGCATGAGAGGAGGAGGCATGGGCTGGTGAAAGGTTTCGAGGTGGGGAAGCAGGAGCGTTGTTTTACCCTACTGCGTCTCACTCCTGTGCCCTCAGGTTGCTGGCCCAGCGGCAGCAACACTCCTTTGGTCTGCACGGAGTGGCATGTGTGGGTACAGAGCCGCACCTCTCCCTCTGTGCCCTGGAGTTTTATCGTGCCAACGACACCGCCAGATGTCCCGGAGGGGGACCCGTGGTGGTGAGCTGTGTGGCCGGCCCTCTTTACTCAGTGTCCGGTGGTCAGAAGAAGCAGCAGCAGCCAAAGCCTCAGGGGGAGGTACGTGAGACAGTGACTGTGACCTCTCCTGCTGTGGGTGGCCACCCCCTCACCAAGCACAGCCCTGACCTTTGAGGATAGAACAAAACCTTCCTCAGGGGTGACTCACACACCTGACATACCCACTTCTTCTTCCCACCAAACTCCTTCCCCTCCTGGGTCTGCTTAGCCCTCCTGGATGTTCACCTCTGCTGGGTGCATCTCTCTCACAGGTCCGAGTGCGTCTGAAGGGCGGCGCCCATCCTGGAGAGGGCCGGGTGGAAGTCCTGAAGGCTGGCACATGGGGCACAGTCTGTGACCGCAAGTGGGATGTGCAGGCAGCGAGTGTGGTGTGTCGAGAGCTGGGCTTTGGCAGTGCTCGAGAGGCTTTGACTGGCGCCCGCATGGGGCAGGGTGAGCGGGCAGGGAGATGGGAGAAGGGATGAGGCAAGGAGGTTCCCACTCCTCAGGAGTAGACTCCTGGGAAAGCCAGGTGTCCTCTGGTCAATGAAGGCGTAATTACAACCTCCTGAGCTGTGACTTCCGGCCTAGGCATGGGTGCCATCCACTTGAGTGAAGTTCGATGTTCTGGCCAGGAGTCCTCCCTCTGGAAGTGCTCCTCCAAGAACATCACTGCTGAAGAGTGTTCTCACAGCCAGGATGCTGGGGTCCGATGCAATCTGCCCTACACTGGGGTAGAGACCAAGGTCAGCCATACTCTCCACCTCGGCTCGAACCCTCATCTCTCATTCTATCCAGTCTAATCTCGGGTGTATAGCCTGCTGGTCCCAGTACATTGTCCCAGCCCCGTAGCATCCCAAAGTTCCCGGCTCACCCCACCACTTGCTAGCCCTTTATTTGCCTCTGAGTCACCTTTTGCCACGTTCCCACTACAGACTTTCACTACCACAAACAGCTCCTCCAAGTGCTTCCCTTCTGTGTCACTACAGATTCGACTCAGTGGGGGTCGCAGCCGATATGAGGGGCGAGTTGAGGTGCAAATAGGGGGACCTGGGCACCTCCGCTGGGGCCTCATCTGCGGGGATGACTGGGGAACGCTAGAGGCAATGGTGGCCTGTAGGCAACTTGGTCTGGGCTATGCCAACCATGGCCTGCAGGTAAGTAAACAGGGAAGACAACCAAAGCTGTTGTCGCAAAGCCTGTGCTTTGGGCACAGGACTTGGAAATGAGTCCCTTAGCCCAGAAGGCTGCACCTACTTATGTCCCCAGGAGACTTGGTACTGGGACTCAGGAAATACAACCGAGGTGGTGATGAGTGGAGTGCGCTGCACAGGGATGGAGCTTTCTCTGGACCAATGCGCCCATCACGGGACTCACGTCACCTGCAAGAGGACAGGGACCCGCTTCACTGCTGGAGTCATCTGTTCTGAGAGTGAGTGAAGGGCTGGGGAAGGGAGCCTCCCAGCCAACCCTTGGCAGGGAGAGAAGGGGCTGTCATCTGGCAGGGTACTTCTTCCCCATAGAAAGCCAGTCTCACACTCTAGGGAATGGAAGCACCCCCTTCCATCCCTGCCCCTCAGCAGTGACTTCTGTCACTCTTTCCTTTCTCATGCAGCGGCCTCTGATCTGCTGCTACACTCGGCGCTGGTGCAAGAAACTGCCTACATCGAGGACCGGCCCCTGCACATGCTGTACTGTGCAGCCGAAGAGAACTGCCTGGCCAGTTCTGCCCGCTTGGCCAACTGGCCTTATGGCCACCGACGGCTGCTCCGATTCTCTTCCCAGATTCACAATTTGGGACGAGCTGACTTCAGACCCAAGGCTGGGCGCCACTCCTGGGTGTGGCATGAGTGCCATGGGTGAGAGGGGAGAAGGGAGGTAGAAAGACAAGGGCACAGAGGATGGGGCAGGCCTGCTGGGGTCAGGGAAAGAAACAGGAATTCCCCTGTCCCTTACGCTCGCAGGCACTACCACAGCATGGACATCTTTACTCACTATGATATTCTGACCCCCAATGGCACCAAGGTGGCGGAGGGACACAAAGCAAGTTTCTGTCTGGAAGACACTGAATGTCAGGAGGGTGAGTTGGGGCCTAGAGTGGACTTTAGCATCTCCAAAGCACAAGTTTTCCTTTTCCTGACATACACCAATCTCTTCAGATGTCCCCAAGAGATATGAATGTGCCAATTTTGGAGAGCAAGGCATCACTGTGGGTTGCTGGGATCTCTACAGGCATGACATCGACTGTCAGTGGATTGACATCACAGACGTGAAGCCAGGGAACTACATTCTCCAGGTGCCTAGGGTCTAGTGCTTCCAGGTGGTGTACAGGCGTCTGTCTTTCTTTCTTGTTTTTTTTTTTTTTTTTTTTTTTGGTGGGCAGTAGTCTTAAAAGACACTGAGTTTGAGGGTTGCAGTTGGATCAAGTGGCCATTCGCCTTCATTCACAGGTGATCATCAACCCAAATTTTGAAGTAGCAGAAAGTGACTTCACTAACAATGCAATGAAATGTAACTGCAAATATGATGGACATCGCATCTGGGTGCACAACTGCCACATTGGTATTTGATGGGCCAGGGAACTCAAGGAGATGGGCTGGTGGAAAAACACTTTCATCTTCTTTTCCTTAAGCAAATTCTGTCTTCCTCCCTACTCCTGGACCTCTGTCTATCCACTTCTATCCACCCTTCCCCACAGTGGGTCTGCTTCCCTGCCTCTGTGCAGGGCACCACCCACACTGCCTGTCCACTCTGCCTCCAGGTGATGCCTTCAGTGAAGAGGCCAACAGGAGGTTCGAGCGCTACCCTGGTCAAACCAGCAACCAGATTGTCTAAATATCACCATCCTTCTTTGCAAACCACCACTGGCCCCCAGTGGCAGGGGTCTGAGGCTGCCATTACCTCAGGAGCTTACCATGGAATCCTTGATGGTAGCAGGCCTGCCACATCAATCCACCATGGATTGTGGATGTGGAAATGACAAACGCAAGTTACGGCCCTTCCTCCTAGACTGGCTATCAGTATCTGTACCAGCATGAAGACTCTTTGTTCCAGGCCCAGCATGGAGCAGAGCACACTGCAACAAGCAGCAACTGACTAAATTCTCAGAACACCAGATGGCAGCCGCTCATTTTCTTGAATATGAGGTCAGGATGGTCAGCTCCCATGATCTCCCTTCAGTTCAGGGGAGAAACAGCTTTACCTCTAGTGTTTTGGTGGGGGAAAAGATCCAGCCCCCTTTCCCTCCATGTTGGACTATAAGATGTTGTTAGGTATAATTTTATTTTATATAAAAAGTGTTTTTGAGATTGTTCAGGGCCCAGATATTGATGCTGGTGGTTGGAGGGACCTGCCCCCCACTGGTTCATTGATGCCCCTGCCCAGTGCCCTCAAAACCTAGGCAGGAAGGCAAGGAGGGAATCAGAGCAGGTGCCTCACATTCTTGCTAATCCAGTCATTCTGTGATCTCTGGAGTCACATATAAAGTCAGGGTTTCTGATCCCCGCCGGATTCGCACTGCCAGCTGTGACTGGGTTCGAACAGCTTCATAAACATCTTCAGCATTCTGTACGAGCTGCTCCCCAATGGCCAAGATCACATCACCAGGTCGTAGACCAGCCCTACAGAGAAGGATGGACACAGAGAAACCAGGGAGTACACAGCCTAGATCAAGGACACACAGGGTACACTTCCCTGCCCCCATTTTACAGGGCAGCCTCTCCTTCACCTGTGTGCAGGGGAGCCGAGGATGACCTTATGGATGAGTACACCATGCTGAACGTCAGGAAAGCTTGGTTCTCGAAGCTGTAGTTCAGCAAGGATGCTGAAAGGACACAAATCAATTCACTAGCTACACTTAGGAACTCTCCCCGTCTTGGGTTTGCCTCAAGTCTCTCATCAGCACACTGACAAATGTGTGGCCAGGATACATACTAAGCACTACAGATATGAAGACAGCGCATTTTCTGCCTTCTAACAGTTAGAAAGTAGGATATGTATATAATAGGAAACTTAATTCCCAATGACCCAGTGTCAAGTCAACAATATTAGTATCATTCTAGAATCCTAAGAAAAATTTAAGAAGGAGGTAGAACTTAAACTGCACCTAGAAGGATAGGTCTGATGTTAACTATATTAAACAAGAAAAGTGTAAAGACATAGGAGGAGGATATCAGGCTGGCTGAACCAGTATTCCTGAGGGAAGTAACAGAAGCCAAATCTGGAAGGTCGATTTAGTCAGGTGAAAAATGCCCTTGAGAGCCAGGTATGGTGGTGCACACCTTCGAAGCCAGCACTCAAGAGGCTGAGGCAGGAGGATCGCCAAGAATTTGAGGCCAGCCTGAGTTAGAAAGTGAGTTTGAGGCTAGCCTGATCTACACAGCAAGATTTTGGCTAAAAAAAAAAGAAAGAAAGAGCCTTCAAGTGCCAAAGGCAATGAATTGAAGGCTTTGAATGACAGTAGTGACAAGATGCAGTCAGTTTGGTGACAGGGGTGCCAGATGGAGTACAGTGAGAAAATCAAAATAATAAGGAACAGCTCTATGATAGTGAAAAGCAGCTCATCGTAGATTAAGACAAGCAAAAGCACAGCCTGACAGAAGACCCTGTTGCTCAACACTAATTCTACGTTTCATGACCATTAATGCTCATACCTGGGAGTAAGAGTCAGCATCATCACCCCAATGTAGCGGCGCTGGGATCCACTAATTCCAAACCAGGAACCTGTGAAAGAGGGGCAATGAGCCCCCATCCTGCTACATTCTTCTTTCCCTTCCCTTCCCATCCCTTCCTTCCAGGGAACATTTCTTCCCATGTCTCATCCACCACTTTAAAAGAACCCCTTTTCCCACTGCCAGACTCACTTTTCTTTTCCCCACGTCGCAGAAACTCTCTAAGTCGATCAGAGGGGATGGCAAAGGAGATTCCAGCTGTGACCTTCATAGTGTTCACTCCAATCACCTCCCCATCCTGCAGGGACACAGCCCCCTGTCCCCTAGCCCGAACAGACAGTAGGGGATGGGGGCATCTAAACAAAAGTATGGGACCGTTGGGGGAACTGTTTGGCTATCGCAAAATAGCAAACAAGAAACTGACTGCACATAAACTCAACCAAACTTTCTTGAATTAAAAGAAACCCACCCTTTCCATACTGACCTGGGGTAGGGATTCTTAGAAGGAAAGATCTCACACTCACCAGGTTAACCAGCGGACCTCCAGAGTTTCCAAACTGTAGGACAAGGAAAAAACATGGAAGAGATCAGGAGATTCTAAGCCTGGTGGCATAACCCAGAGTTAAGCACCTTTCCAGATTCCTTCCCCAGCCCATAAAATGAATGGCTACATTTCCACAGCCTAACCGCAGTATAAATGCTCATCCAACACACATCAGTTGATGCTTCATTCCCCCAACCTAGTTTGTCATTTTTCTCATATAAGGACATACATCAATAGCTGCATCAGTCTGAATGTATTCCACATTGGTTTGGGGCAGTCCAAGGTCTCTGGCTGGACGCTGAGCAGAGCTGACAATGCCAGAAGTGATTGTGTTCTGCAGCGCAAAGGGACTTCCCATAGCAACAACAAACTCGCCTTGCCGGACATCAGCTGAACGTCCCAGGGGGAGTGTGGGTAGAGGCTCCTAATGAAAGATGGGTACAAGAGACCTGTCATCTGGAGATAGGAGCAAGTAAATAGTTGCAACCAGGCCTAGCCGACTCCAACCCCACCTTGGTTTGAATCCTCAGCGTGGCGATATCTGCCACAGGATCCACAGCCGTAACCATGGCCTCATATGTGTCACCGCTAAGCAGCCTCACACGGACGCGGCGCCGATCTGCCACCACATGGGCATTAGTAACAATGAGCCCATCGGCAGCCACCACGAATCCTGAGCCATTTGAGATAGGGACTTCTCGGCCCGAAAAAGGGTGCCTGAAATGGACAAAACGCGGATAATATGAAGAAACTCCTGCCCTCTGCTTGTAGCTTCCACGATTCCCTCTCTACCCCACCATTACCGGTCCAAAATCTCGATATACACCACGGCAGGTGCAGTCTTCTCCACCACATCTGCAATGAAATTGTACTGGCTCCGGGGAGAGGTGGGTGGTGGAGCAGGGACAGCGGCTAGCACGGCTGGAGGACTCCGACCCCTGCCCCACAACAACAACAGCAATGCGCCCCCAGCGCCAAGCGTCACCACCAGCCACGAGTGCGGTAGGGCTCCAGGGTTCCCTGAGGCCTCCCGGGCCGGGGGATCAGGGTTCTCTGCAGTCCGTCGCGTCGGGGTCCAAGACGTCAAACATGCCCGAGGTTCAGGGATCCCCTGAGACAACCGGGCCCGGAGACTAGAGGTCCCATAAGTCCCCCGGGCCTGTAGGTAAGGAGTTCCTGACGTCAGCAGGGCCCGGAGGTCAGGGGTCAACAGGGGTCCCTTCCCACAGAGAATGCCCCCCAAAGCCCGCCATCCCTGGAGGATCCAAGCTGCACCCCGCCCCGCCCTCAGTGCAGCCATCAGCTCCACCTTGGCTGCCTACTTGCCCGCCCAACTCGGAGGCGGTGCCCTGATCTGAGCAGGCAGACAGCAGGACCCTAGGCACGCCGGAACCTGAAGTCTTCCAGAAGTGCACGCCGGGACCCAAGATTCCTGTGAACCAGCTCCACCCTGTCCCGTGAATGCTGGGAATTGTGGTCTCCGCCGGACTCGAGTAGTCAGGCGCCTCGGGGGGCCGCAGGGCATGCTGGGTCCGCTAGCCCTTCCGGGGCGCCTTCGGACTTCGGGTCACAGCACCTTGGCGGATGCCCAAAGTCTCAGCCTTCCCAGGAGCCCCTGCGGCCCGGCGCGAAGATGGCGGCAGCAGCGGCCGTGCTCCCCTGAAACAGCTGCGATGGAGCCTTCCCCGGCTCCCGGGCCGGAGCGGCTCTTTGACTCGCACCGGTAAGAGCCCCTGAGGGAAGAGGCGAGCTCTCACGTCCTTTCGGCCTTCGGTGCCTGATCACTGCCTCTTCCCTGCAGGCTCCCGGGTGACGGCTTCCTGCTCCTCGCGCTGCTGCTCTACGCGCCAGTCGGCTTCTGCCTCCTAGTCCTGCGCCTTTTTCTTGGGATCCACGTCTTCTTGGTTAGCTGCGCGCTGCCTGACAGTGTCTTTCGCAGGTTCCGACTCGGGCACTGAGGGGGTGTCTGGGCTGGGCCGGGCCGGAGCCGCAGAGTCACCGCCACCTATACCCTCAGGTTCGTGGTGCGAACCATGTGTGCGGTGCTGGGGCTCGTGGCCCGCCAGGAAGGTTCCGGACTCCGGGATCCCCGCGTCAGGGTCCTCATTTCCAACCATGTGACACCTTTTGATCACAACATAGTCAACCTACTCACCACCTGTAGCACCGTGAGTGGGGGCGAGGCCTAGAGCGCCACCGGGTGGCTCCCTGGACCGGTGCTGTAGGTTCACCTATCCCGTTTAGCTCTCCCTTGGGGGATACTGACCCTTACTCCTCCTCTCATTACACCACTTACATTTTTTCTCATTTGTTCCTATTTCTTTCGTGTTGCTTTTTCTGCTCCCTGTACCCAGCCTCTACTCAATAGTCCTCCCAGCTTTGTGTGTTGGTCTCGGGGCTTCATGGAGATGGATAGGCGAGTAGAGCTGGTGGAGTCACTCAAGAGATTCTGTGCCTCCACGAGGCTTCCTCCCACCCCTCTGCTGCTGTTCCCCGAGGAAGAGGCCACCAATGGCCGGGAGGGGCTCCTGCGCTTCAGGTGGGTGAACACAGGCTGCAACTGAGCAGGTTGGTCACACTATAGGTCTTTGAGTTTTCCCAGCCTTCAGCCCGTATCCCACTTCATCCCCAGATCGTTTTTTTCTGCCCACTTTTAGTTCTTTCAAATCTCTTTCCTATTTATTCAACTGTGCAGTGTTAACAATTTCTTGTTTTTAGTCTGATAAGTGCTGCTGACGGGGCTAGCTAGATTCCATTCTACTCTCCTTTCTCTTCTAGTTCCTGGCCATTTTCTATTCAGGATGTTGTACAACCTCTTACCCTGCGAGTTCAGAGACCCTTAGTTTCTGTGGTGAGTGTGTATTGGACAGGGAATCTCTGGGGTTTGGGGGGAAGTTTCCCCACCCTGGCCCTGTCCTCACTTCATACCCTCCCCTCAGACGGTGTCAGATGCTTCCTGGGTCTCAGAACTGCTGTGGTCACTTTTCGTCCCTTTCACGGTGTATCAAGTAAGGTATTAACTGTCCTCACTTTTTGGTGGCTGGGAAGAGGCTCATCTCAAGCTTAAGGAAGTAGTGGCCTCTGCCCTATTCATTTGTAGTTTTTTAATATCAAGGTCCCACCACAGAGGCAACACTGTTTACTGTGTCTCCACCCTCACCACCACTGTCCCATGAGGAGAGGTATCAAAATGGGGAAGGGATGACTTAATATGTCACTGGGTTGTTTTTTGCAGGTGGCTTCCTCCTGTTCATCGCCAGCTGGGAGAGGGCAATGAGGAGTTTGCACTCCGTGTACAGCAGGTGGTAGAGCACACAGCAGGGTGGAGGTGGGAGAGGCTGGCAGTCTCGACACTTACGGCCTTCTACTTCTCCTAGCTGGTGGCCAAGGAATTGGGCCAAATAGGGACACGGCTTACTCCAGCTGACAAAGCAGAACACATGAAGCGACAAAGACACCCCAGAGTGCGTCCCCAGTTAGGTGTGTAGTCTCTGTTTGAGCTTTTTTCCAATCCTTGGCAATTTCTTCGCTGTTCCTCAAATGGTCAGCCTTTTCTTCCTTCTAATTTTCTACTTAACTACATTTCTAAATTTCTGTTTTTCAGCGCAGTCTTCTTTCCCTCCCTCTCCTGGCCCTTCTCCTGATGTGCAGCTGGCAACACTGGCTCAGAGAGTCAAGGAGGTGTTGCCTCATGTGCCACTGGGTGTCATCCAGAGAGACCTGGGTATGAGAAAGGGTAGTCTCACACAAAGTAACACACACAGGGAGGAAAAAATGGGCTGTGAAGGAAAGCTAAGAAGAAAGAAGTGAGCGGGGAATGGCTCCCCTCTCCTCCTTTCCTTTCTTCTCAGCCAGGACTGGCTGTGTAGACTTGACCATCACTAATCTGCTTGAGGGGGCTGTAGCTTTCATGCCTGAAGACATCACAGAGGGAACCCAGTCCCTGCCCACAGCCTCTACCCCAAAGGTGAGACCCAGAAGCAGTCAAGTCCAAGAATTGGGTAGGTTGGGGCAGTCCTCAACTCCCTGTTCCTGACTTATCTTTTTGATCATGAGACCCTAGCACAGTGCCTCTCTTGCAAAGTAGGCATACGATGCGTGTTTATTGATGATGACTTCGCAAGCCCTCTGACATTGTGATCACCTCAGTTCCCCAGCTCTGGCATGGTGACCCCTCAGCCCACAGCCCTAACATTTGCCAAGTCTTCCTGGGCCCGACAGGAGAGCCTGCAGGAGCGAAAGCAGGCACTGTATGAATATGCAAGAAGGTGAGGTGTTAGACGACAATGACTAGGAAGGGGCAAGTTGAAGAAGGGTATTATGGAACCAATATGACAAAGCCTACATGATGTCTTTCCCCATATCCCACAGGAGATTCAGAGAGAGACAGGCCCTGGAGGCTGACTGAGCTCAAAGGATGGTACCCAGAGCCACAGGATGGAGACTGGGGGCAGCCCTCATCCAACTCAAAAAAGGCCGGATGAGTGGGTGGTAAAAAAAAAAAAAAAGGGAGGGATGGGGGCTCCCCCAATCTCATATTAAATACAGGGTTTTCACTCAAGGTCTCTGTTGCCTCTCTGGGTTTCAAAATCCCCTGAGCAAGTTTCTTTTCCTTTGGTCGGAGGGTATGGAGATAAGAATCTCCATAGGTTTGAGGGGTGATCAGGTAGAACTGTTGGAAGTTATTCTATCCCAGAAGATGAGTGATGCTAAGGCAATGTAAATGAACTGATAACAGACAATTGGACCCCCCGCTTGGGTGTTCATCCCAGTTTTGTTAAGCTTCTACAAAAACTACAAGTCCCAAAATGCCTTTCACAAGCACTAGACTGTCAAGTTCACACGTGCTCAATGTGGCAGGAGCCTGTTTTCCATAGGTTAGTGGCTAGGTTAAATAAAGTGGAGCATGCTGCCCCACCCCAAAAGCAAGCATCCGGATTGGAGTTTGAGCCTAGCCTCAGGGTGAAGCCGGAATTTACCTTTGTACTTTAAGCAGTCAGCAGTTACCTGAGTAGATGTGGAACTGACTGCCATCCTGACGTCTCAGAGCCGCAAGCAGGTTTGAATCCAGGATCCTTGTGACCCTTCTGTGCCCACCCATTCCTTACTCTTTCACTCCCGGGACCTTCCCCAGGTTACTATGTCTCATAATTCTTGCTGCCTCCAGGGTCTCCTGTTTAGTCATAGGACTTACTACCCAACTATGGGGGTAAAATTTCACTTTTGATGATCCCTTAGAAATACGCAGTACTGTTTTCTGGCAAGCAGAAAATCCTGGGAAGTATGAAACAAACCCCCCCCCCCCCGGTATTACTGCCTGAGGGTAGGTGCTAAGAATCAGAGCTGATGTGGGGAGATAGCATCAGTCACCAAATAGGCTTTACTAGCTGCCCTGCCTTCTGTAGGTCCTGGACAGCTACCATGACCTCTCAGCCTCTTAGGCTGGCAGAAGAATCTGACACAAGTCCTGGGGAGTCTGAACTGGCTGTGAACCCCTTTGATGGGCTCCCCTTCTCTTCTCGCTACTACAAGCTGCTTGAGCAGCGCAGAGGCTTGCCCATCTGGGCTGTTCGCTTCATCTTCTTGGAGCATTTGGAGAGTAGCCCCACTGGAGTGGTCCTGGTATCCGGGGAACCTGGCTCTGGCAAGAGCACCCAGGTGGAGAAAGATTCTGGGAGGGGCTAAGGAATTGGCTTTTCCCCAGAGTAAGGGATATTGAGGAAGTGGGCAAAGAGAAGAGGGTTAGGCTGGCCCCAGGGTGTTGAGAATGGACCAGAGGACTCCCCAAATTAGAGACTACACTGGCTGTGGCTCCCCAGGACTTTGCCCAGAGTTCTGTGACTCCCTCACTGGTTGTCCTTCCCTCCCCCTTCTCCAGATCCCTCAATGGTGTGCAGAATTTGCCCTGGCCAGGGGATTCCAGAATGGCCAGGTTACTGTCACCCAGCCCTACCCTCTGGCAGCCCTGAGCCTGGCTTTGCGGGTTGCTGATGAGATGGACCTGACCGTGGGTCATGAGGTTGGATATAGCATCCCGCAGGAGGACTGCACAGGACCCAACACTCTGCTCAGGTGGGGTCCTCTGCAGGCCTGTCTGGCATCTCACCATAACCTCCCCCAGCCTAACTCACCCTTTAAGTCACACACAGTGCAACTGCTGAATTAAGCCCCTGAGTCTGGCCTCAGACATCAACCTCAACCTCACCATGATAGTCGCACCTCCCACCTAGGGCAGTGAACCAGATGTCCTCGCAGGAGTCATGGGGTCAGGTTCAGAAAGTCAGTCACACTCTCTTTTTCTGACCTTCAGTATCAAAATCTATTTCCCTTGGAGAGGAGTTCCCCTACAATTCTGGGGCTTGTCAGTGTCCACCCTGACTCCACTGCCTACTACCAATATCCACAGGTTCTGCTGGGACAGGTTGCTCCTGCAGGAACTGGCCTCAACCCGGGGCACTGGAGCCTGGGGTGTGCTGGTGTTGGATGAGACTCAGGAGCGGTCCGTGGCCTCAGATTCACTCCAGGGACTGCTCCGAGATACCACACTGGGAGACCTTCCAGGGGACCCTCGAGTGGTTGTGATTACTGACCCAGCCCTTGAGCCTAAGCTCCGAGACTTCTGGGGCAATCCTCCCACTGTGCGTGTACCCAGGGCACCTGGCAGGAGTCCCACCCCTGTCTACAGAGACACTGTTCCTACTGATCGGGTGGAAGCTGCCTGCCAAGCCGTGCTTGAGCTGTGTTGGAAGGAGGCTCCAGGCGATGTGCTAGTGTACCTGCCCAGTGAGGAGGTAAAAGGAATGGATTCCGAGAGGAAGTACTCATGCATACCACCTTCCACCCCAGGGAAAAGGGACTAATGCATGTTAGAAATGGTGGGATAGTAGTGTTTATTCTCTACTGAGGTCCAGAGGAAAACCCAGGGATTTCAGAACCAAGGATAGTGGTGCACACCTGTAATCCTAGCAATCTGGGAGGCTGAGACAGGAGGATCACAAGTTCGAGCCCACACTGGATAACTTGGCAAGACCCTGTCTCAAAAATTTAAAAAGCAAGTAAAATAAGTGAAAACTGACTGGGGATGTAGCTCAATGCAGATTCTGTGATCAATAGCCAGAATCACAAGAAAGAATGAATAAAAGAAATCAAGAATTTCAGGATAAAGGTATCTTCTACACATGTCCTGATTTCTTCTACTGCAGAGATTTCAGTGACATTCTGAAATTATAACAACCTAAACTTCATGAGAATGTATGTTTTTTCCGAGTGAAAGGCCCTATATAGCTTTTATCAATTTTTCAAAAGGGTCTATGACCCCAAAAAAGCTGAGAACTGCCCTAATGCCCCACCCCTCTCCTCAGGAAATTTCCCTGTGCTGTGAATCCTTGTCCAGGGAGGTGGGGACCCTGGCACTCCTAAGCCCTCGGCCCAGGGTGCTGCCCCTTCACCCAGGCTGTGGTCAAGCCATTCAGGCCGTGTACGAGGACACAGGCCCGGGAGCCCGGAAGGTCGTGGTCACTCACTGGCTGGCTGACTTCTCCTTCTCCCTCCCTTCCATCCGACATGTCATTGACTCAGGACTGGAGCTCCGAAGTGTGAGTAATGGGTTGGGGCAGCGGCTATAAACAGCAATGGCCTGTGATCTGTCTTGACCTTGCTTGGGGCATGGTAACAGGTTTACAGTCCCCGGATCCGAGCAGAATCCCAAGTCTTGAGAACAATTAGCAAATGTCAGGCAGAAGCAAGGCGACTTCGGGCAAGAGGGTTCCCTCCAGGTAAAAGCCTTTGCCCTTGCAGAAACCCAGCCTGAGAAGCCGTGCCAAGTGCAGGCCCCAGTAAACCTACTGTCCCAGCTTTCTTCCCTCAGGATCCTACCTCTGCCTGTATCCAAAGACCGTCCTAGAACTAGAGGCTCCCCCACTGCCCCAACCCAGGGTATGCGAAGAGAATCTGAGCCCCCTGATGTTACTACTAAAGAGGAGGCAGATTGCTGAGCCAGGGCACTGCCGCTTCCTGGACCCCCCTGGTGAGCAGCATCCTGCCTGCCCGTCCTCTGCCTGCCCACTGAGGCTTCATCCCCCTGAGCCCTGTCTTCCCCAGCTCCGGAAGCACTGATGCAGGCCCTGGAGGACTTAGACTACCTGGCAGCCCTGGATGACAATGGGGATCTGTCAGACCTGGGAGTCATCTTATCAGAGTTCCCCCTGATGCCCGAGCTGGCCAAAGCCCTACTGGCCTCCTGCGAGTTTAACTGCGTGGATGAGATGCTCACCCTTGCCGCCATGCTCACGGGTACATTTATAGATTCTGGCCACCAGGGGTTGGAAATGACGTCCCACTAGGTGGTCTGGGGTTTTGTTGTTCTTAGTATGGGGGATCTTGCTCTTCCAGCACTGTGCCACATCCCCGCTGTGAGTCAGTGGCTCCTGCACCTCGTGTTTGGTGCTCCTAAGCCGGCCCTTTCCTCTCTGCTCTAATTCCCCCCTCTCACGGTGCCTGAAGGACCAGGCATAGTCAGCTCTCCCTTTTATCTCCATAGTCCTTTCTCTGTGTGTCTTGCCCCTGGTTAAATCTCTCCCATCTGTTTTAGCTAAAACCCATACACCTCTCCTCCTCAGGTTTATCCTCTTTGTTCAGCTATACTGTGGTGGCGAACCTTTGTCACGTGTGCCACAGCCAGCTGTGTGTTATCACTGAAAGCTGGAAACGTTTGCCATCCCTGAGCTACGCTCTAATCCAGCCCATCCTATCTAATGTGCTGCCCACCCACTGCACCTGGCTTCCCTCAGGCCCATATACCACTGAAACAACTTTCAGCCCACCAGGGACCTTCCAGATAGCTAACCCCAGGCTTTATTGATGACATTTTGGCCGAGTGCTGACCACTCCCACTTTGAAGCCGCCTCCTGCTGTGCCTCTGTGATGCTACACCTTGTGTTTTTCATCCTGCCTCCCTGGCCTGCTTCCTTCATCCCTCCTGAGCTGCTGGTCCTCTGCTTGTCCATTGTAAGTGGGAGTCAGGGCTCTATCCTTGACCCTTGTGTCTTCTTATTCCTTTAACTCTTTGGGTAAGTTCACCCCACTCATGATTTGACACACTGCCTTTGTTTTTAACAATGCCTAACTTTTGTGCCTTGTGTCTACCAATACCTTCTTCTAGATCTTTTGGGGGTTTTTTTGTTTGTTGTTTTGTTTTTGTTTTTGAAACAGAGTTTTAATAAGCAGGCTGGCCTTGAACTCACTTTGTAACCCAGAATTTCTCAATCCTCCTGCCTCAACCTCCCAAGTGCTAGGATTTCAGGCATGTGCCACCACACCTAGCCTACATTTTAGGCTAAAATTTAGGCTAAATTTAGGAAAAAAGAGAGGATAGGAAAAGAGAATGAGATCCAATTGCTAATGGCTATTTTTAACCATAATAGTCCACAGTACCCAGCTCAGAACTGAACTCATGCACCCTCTTAAACTACCCCTCAGAGCTAGATGTAGTGGCACATGACTATGATATGAATAGTGTGGAAGGCTGAAGCAGGAGGATAGCAAATTCAAGCCCAGACCGGGCAATTTAGAGATATAGCAAGACCTTGACTGTAAATACATACATATGTATTTACATATATACATACACATACACACATATGGGGCTGGGTATGTAGCTCAGTGAAAAGACCTGGGCTCAATCCCTAGTACTAAAGAAAGACAGACAGAGAGACCTACCCCACCATCACCATGTTTTCCTCCCTCAGAACCTTCAGTTTCAGATAATGCCATAACCTCTTCTGAATGATACACTACCACCATCCTAGACTAGCCTTTCTTAGATTCTCTTCATTTTTATATCCGAAATAACATTCATCTGCTCTCTTGAAAATTCACTGCAGGTGCACTGTTAAGTTTGCATCATGGCTCAGCTGGATCCCATTAGCAGTCTCCCAACGAGTCATGTGAATGCTTCCAAATTCATGGACTCTCCTACTTAAAAACCTCTCTTCAACAGGTATTCTTTACTCTGGGACAGAATGTTAACTCCTTTGCACCGCACATCTGGCCCCTGCCTACCTCTCCAGCTCTATTTCCTGCTCTTCTGCCACATCCTTCCCTCTACCCAAACCAGGTGGCTTGCAGTTCCCAAAATGTTCCATGCTGTTAACTTCTCTACTTTGTTCCCACAGCCTTGACTATTGTCCCTGCACCTTGTCCACTGAGATAATCCTCACTCAAACTTTAAAACTTGGCTCAGGGAGCCTCCGCCTTTTCTCCTACATCACCACCATTGCCATGCCCCAAGCCTGGATTACCTGCCCTACTCTTTGTTTCCAGAGTACCATACACACACGAAGCCAGTCTTTCATTTACAGCTGTTCTTCAGTATCCATTGGAAATTGGTTCCAGAATTCTCTATGGATACCAAAATCCACTGGTGCTTAATTCTCTTACAATAAAATGGTACAGTATTTGCTCATAATCTATGCATCTCTCTGTATAACTGAAAGTCATAGCTAGGTTACTTATAATTCCCATCACAATGTGAGTACTATTTAAATAATATGCTGTGTTGTTTAAGAAATAACAAGAAAAAAAGTCTGGGCCAGCCATAGTGGCACATGCTTATAATCCCAGCAATCAGGAGACCGAGGCAAGAGGATTTCTGGAATTTGAGGCCAACTTGTGCTACATAGTGACTTCAAGACCAGCCTGAACTACATAGTGAGACCCTTTCAAAAGAAAAAGATAAAAGCCTGTGCATGTTCAGTCCGGATGCTATCTTTTCCCATATATTTTCACTCTTCAGCTGCTTGAGTCCACAGATGCAGAACCCACAGATACGGAGAGCTGGCTGTATTTATTTTCAACATCTAACAGAGTGCAGAACACCTAGAAGTTATCAGTGCCTTTTAAATAAAGTTCTCAAAGTGACATTATACCCTTTCCATATTTCACCTATGTCACTGTCCTGTCTCATTCCTCAAAGCTACTTTCTTTTCTGCCTCTAGCTGCCCCTGGGTTTACTCGACCTCCACTGTGTGCTGAAGAAGCTGCCCTGCGTCGGGCCCTGGAACACGCAGATGGTGACCACAGCTCTCTGATCCAGGTTTATGAAGCCTTTATCCAAAGTGAGTGGCCCACCCCTTTACAGAATCCCAGAGTTTCCAGAAGGGGCAGTGGTATACAGCCATGGTAGATCTCTCTGCCCAGGGGAAGGAGGATCCTTGGCCAGTGGTTGATTTCTTTCCACAGTCTAAACAACTTTATAGCTGTCTCTTCTTTTCTAGATGGAGAGAACGAAGCTTGGTGCCAGGCTCGAGGTCTAAATTGGGCAGCATTGTGCCACGCCCGTAAACTTCGGGGAGAGCTCCTAGAACTCATGCAGCGAATTGAACTTCCCTTGTCTCAACCAGCCTTTGGCTCTCAACAGAATCGCAGAGACCTTCAGAAAGCACTGGTGTCAGGATACTTCCTCAAAGTTAGGGCAAAGTATTGGGGTGAGGGTGATAAAAGGAGCAAAAGGCAGAGGGAACAAATATTAGTATGTCACCCCTGAAACTACAGTCAAGTGACCGTTCATAAGATTCTTTAGAAGCTGGGTATGGTGGTGCATGCTTATAATTCTAGCACCTGGGAGGCTGAAGCAGGAAGTTGCAAATCTGAGTCCCAGCCAGGTGTGGTGGTACGTCCTAGCACTTGGAAAACTGAGGCAGGAAGATTATCATGAGTTCAAAGCCAGGCTGGGCTACATAGTTCAAGGCCAGCCTGAATTATATAGGAAAACCCTGTCTCAAAAAAACCAAAAAAATTTCTTCTAGTCCCAGCCTGGGCAATTTAGCAAGACCCTGTCTTAAAATAAAAGGACTGGGGATATGGCTCAGTATGAAGGCCCTAGGCTCAATCTCCAGTACCACCAAAAGGTCTTTAGAACTAAGAGGTACTTTTCCTTTGAGTCCTTGGGTATCAGGAGCTGTAGAAAATGCCATATGATAAGTTGGGGACCAGATAATACCTAGAGATAATTAATTATTTAAAATTCTCACTATTCTTAACTAATTCTTTCTCAGCCCCCATTTTTTTTTCTACTCTGCTTCTTTTATTTATTCCTTCAATATCTTTGTCTTCTAATGAGGTGGCCCGAGACACAGATGGGACTGGAAACTATCTGCTGTTAACCCACAAGCATGTGGCCCAGCTATCCTTGTACTGCTGCTACCAAAACCGCCGGGCTCCAGCCAGACCCCCACAGTGGGTGCTGTACCACAGTTTCTCCATATCCAAAGACAACTGCCTTTCCATTGTTTCCGAGATTCAACCTGAGCTGTGCGTTTCCTGTACCCCTTATATACTGCCCATTTTCCTTCCAGGGCCAAAACTAAAGATGGGGAGTTGGAGAGACATAAGAAGAAGGGATCTTACTCGGGAGGCTGAGGCAGGAGAATCATTGCAAGTTCGAGACCAGCCTGGGCTACAAAATGAGCCCAAGGCCAGTCTGAACTGCATAGTGAGACCCTGTCTCAAAAACACACAAAAAAGGTGGGGGATCTTAGTGGCTTGTAGCAACATATGACTTCAGGGCAGAGGACTTGTGGAAGGGTGGTGGGAAGTTCTAGTCTACTCCAGAGGAGAAGATACAGATCATCTAACTATGACTCTCTCTGTCAGGCTGGTGGAGCTGGCCCCCCCATACTTCCTGAGTAATCTGCCTCCCAGTGAAAGCAGAGACCTCCTAAACCAGCTGAGGGAAGGAATGGCAGATTCATCAGCAGAGAAAGAACCTTCCTCCACCCAGGAATTCAGAGATGCCTGTATCCTGCAGTGACCTAAGGAATTCTGCAGGAATGGAGCCGAGCTCATCTCACATTCTGAGAGCCTTCATCAGTCGGGTACTACGCAGCCAGCCATAGTTAGAAACCCAAACTTTAGGGTCAGGTGCACATCCTAGGACCTAAGTCCCAAGTATCGGTGGATTTGGACTGGTAGAGATGGGGTAGGCCACCATCTTATAGGCTTAGCTTTCTCCTATTTATTGGTGAAGGAGGGACATGCTTCCCTCACCAAGGATGTGCCAAGCCCATCTTTGTACTCCCTTTTGGTCCATAAAAAGATTTTCCCATGATGCCAAATTTTATTTTGGTTCTGCAGCACCAAATACAACATCCATGAGTCAGAGAGGACTCTATGTCAAAGGTCCAAGACCAACTCCTGCCTCCATAGCCTCTTGCCTGGCCCCCACCTCTGGTCATGGCTCTGTGCTGTGACTGACATAGCTGTCAGTAGCATGGAGCACGAATACTCTGCCTACAGTTGGTCTCTGCTCTGCTGTTTTCCCTTTATCACAATGTTCCAGGCCCCAGAAGAAAGAGAACAGGGCTGGTAGAAGAATTAAACAGACTCTCTTTCTTCTTTCTTCCCTTTCTTCTTCATCTACTTTGAATCCTATTCTCTCCACATCCCCACCCTATTACTGGAACTGACCCCAGGACATGGTGCTCCTATATAAACATGAAGGCTGTTGCAACCATCTCCTAACTCATGAGCAAAGTTCCCAGCATCCTATGGCCCATTCAAAGTTGAAGTCTTCCTTTCCTTTATTTCAGTGTATATGTGAAGTGTTGGTGGTACTTGAGATTGAACCCGGGGCCTTCACATTGAGCTACATCCCCAGCCCCTTTTAAAAGTATTTCCTCTTGAAACAGGATCTTACCAGGTTGCCCAAGCTAGGCTGGAACTTGTGACCCTCCTGCCTCAGCCTCTCAGAGTGCTAGAATTACAAGCACATGCCACCATGCTGGGCTATTGAAGTCTTTCTAAAACTTTCAGGGGTCATCACACTTTTCTTCCTTTTGGCTGGGTCCTCCTTTCCCTTTCATGCTCCTGGACTGTTAACTTTGATATCCTCCATCATCTTGCACATTGTTAATGTTTATGGAATGTGGCAGATACAAAGGTTTATACCTAGAACTCCACTTTTCTTCTGAGCTCCTTCCCTAGGAAAGTCTATCTGGTCTTATTATTCTTTCTCCATCTCTGTGGGAGTCATCTGATCTCCAGATTTTTTTCCCCTCTAGATGTAACATTTAGTTTCACATATAAAGTTAATCTTACTACAGGGTCTGGGGATTTAGCTCAGCAGCATAAGTGCTTGCCTGGCAAGTGCAAGGTCATAAGTTCAATCCCCATTACCCAAAGAAAAAGTTTATCTTACTACAAACCTCACAATTTTTCCTTCATCCACAACATCATTAATTTCCTGACCCTCCACATTTCCAACATTTTTTGTACCAGAAATTGAACTCGGGACCTTGTGTGCTGTGCCACCAAGCTATATCCTCAGCCCCTCATTTCCAATCTTGAAATTACCTTTGATTCTTCTAGGCTTGTAATTCCTAAATATTTGATAAATTCTGTTTACCCTGACTCTGCTGGACCCATTCACTTGTGTCCACCATTTCCTCTTCCCCTGTCCTTGTCCCCGTGGAACACCAGAGCTAAGCTTTCTCCCTAGATTGACCTTTCATCAGGCCTGGAAGCCGCTGTCTCCTCTAGAGCACAGGTGTATTGTACATTTCAAGTAGTAGGATGTGCCAGCAGATTGGACACGCATGGAAACATGAGACGCAGAATCACGAAGGAATCCTTAGCGATTATTTTACAGTTGTGGAGTGAGATGCCCAGCGTAGACAGCCCCTCTGATCCCTGTCACAGTCAGCCAGATTTTCAGCTCTGGCGCTTCCTCTCACTCTGCCGCGGTAGGCTCCTTCTCTCACACCTTTGGTATATAGCCCCCAAATACCACTGACTGCAGCCATCCCTTGCCCAGCACTGCTGGCCTCGCGGCTTGGCTCTGGCTCCTAGAACCCGGCTCTGAGCTTACTCTCCGCTGGGCACCTCCGCAGCGAGGCTCGGGTTGGCAGTGCGCTCCCCCACCCCACCCCCACGCTCCTCATTGGCTACTGTCCTGCAGGTCCCGCCCCCTGGAGGCTTCAGTCCCGGCAGCTGTTTAACAGCTGGTCAGTGAAAAATGGCGGGAAAGGCCGCGTCTGATTGCGCCCGGCATCTGCTCAGTGCAGGCCTGGGTGCCCGCTGGTGGCCAAGGAGCCCTCGACGGTGTCACAAGTCCCGCTGCTCCTCATACCTCGGCTGCCACGAGTCCATGTGCGTGGGCAGCTGTGCGCTCTGCCGCCGCGGGCTGAGTGCACTCCGCCGATCCGGCAGGCGCAGCTCACACCACCGAGGCCAGCCCGGACACGGAAGCCACTTTGTTGTCCTCTGCCCAGGGCTGCAGGTTCTGCAGTGCAAAGAGCGACGAGTTGTGCAGGCAGAGCGGATCTGGGGGCAGCGGCGGCCGCAGCGGCCGCGGGAGCGCGTCCTGCTGCAGGTGCAAGAGCAGCCTCCCCGCACGGTGCCGCTCGGCCTCGCGCTCTTCTGCCGTCTGGCGCCTGGACGGGCAGAGATCCGGGGTCAGTGATGGGGCCCGCCCGCCTCTCCGCCAGGTGTCCCGGCCGGTGACCCCGGTCCACCCTCGCCCGGGCTGCGCCTCACCGCCACTTGGTGCGTCGGTTCTGGAACCAGGTCTTGACCTGTGCGTCTGTCATGCGCAAGGCCTTGGCCAGCGCCGCCCTCTCGGCCGAGGCTAGGTACTTCTGGCGCAGGAAGCGCCGCTCCAGCTCCAGCACCTGCGAGCGGGAAAAGGACGTGCGCGGCTTCTTCCGCTTCGGGGGTGTGCGGTTTTGGTACGGGTGGCCTATGCGGCGCGTCCCAGAGAAGGGCGAGAGCGCAGCTGCGGGGAAGAAGGAGCGGGCAGGGTTGGACGGAAGATCCGCGGGGTCACTGAGACCCGGGCCCCAGGCTTAGCCCCGCATCAGCAGGGGCATCCGGAGAAGACCGTGCGTCAGGATAATCGGCCCTCCCTCTAGAGTGACCAAGGGACGACCCTAACATCACCCTGCCCTCCGCACCGTGGGAGCGCAGGGACTGCAGGCAGGGTACGGCCCCGCGGGCAGGGCCCTCTCGGTTGCCTCTGTCTGCGGGACCGAGATCCGGGTTGAGTGAGGATCCCCGGCTTAAATCTGGGGGAGGGAAGAAAGGGCTCCTGGAGTTGGAGCAGAAAGAGATAGAAAGCGGCGAAGGGCGTGACGCGGGAGGCGTCGGGCAACCTCACCCGTGAGCCGGTCCTTGGCAAAGCGGCGGCCGCTGTCCATCCAAGGGAAGGTGAGTCCCGCTAGGCCCCCGGCGCCGCCCAAACCCGAGGGCCCAGGGACCGCGGGGGCGCCTCCCGCGGGCGGCGGCACCGGCAGCGGGCGATGAGCCGGGACGCGGATCACGCCGCCCGGGCCCACTCCGGAGGTGCTGGGCAGCGGGGCCAGGGAGCCTGCGGGTCCATAGCCCGAGGCTCCGTGGAATCCACCCGAGAATGCCGCACTCTCCCCTTGGCTCTGGCCCGCGCGACCCGGGCCTACGCCTCCTCCCAGGGGTTCAGGGCCGCTCAGGATCTGATCGATGCCAAAGCTGATTGGCTCGTGGTGCGGAAGGCTGTGCGGGGCCAGCACCCCGGGCTCCATGGGTCCCAGCCAGGGAGGACCGCTAGAGGTGCGGCGGCTGGGAAGGGCGCCTCGGACCGCTCGGGGAGCCCCGCAGCGGCGCGCTCCGGGCAGTGGCCTCAGGGGTCCGCGGGGCTGGCCGCAGCCGGGCGCCGGGGCCCCCGGAACAGCAGCATCCCGGTGCGCCCGGAGCAGCCGCGTGGGTCCCCGCCCCTGCCGGGCGTCCGTGCAGGGACTCGCATCCCGGAGGAGCTCGCGGCCGGGGCCCCGAGAGCTCCCTCGCTGGGTCCCAAGCGCAGATGGACGCTCGGTGGCGGGGCCGCTGCCCGAGTCCCGGGTGGAGAAGGTTGGCCGGCGAGGGCTGGGGCAGTGACTGACAGCTCGGCCCCGGGTGGGTAGTGAGGTTGGGGGTAGGGCAGGGGCGGGGCCCGGCCGTTAAAGGGGAATGGACGCCTGCTGGCGCCCGCCCGCGAGGATGCGCCGGGCAAAGGCAGAGGAGGGCGAGGGCGTTTAGGAGCCGGGCTTGGGGCGGGAGGGGCCGGAGCGCCGGCCGCTGAGTCAGCCGGGTCTTCGCCGCGCCTGCAGCCTCGCCGGCCTCCGCCTTCGAGCTGCCTCCGCCCGGCCAGCTTCCTCGGCAGGTGCCTCCTCCCCAGCCCCCACGCTTCACCTCCCGATGGGTCCCCCCGGCCCCTTCCCGGATTCGTTGGGGCCCTGGCATAAGTGTCCCGTGAGGCCAGATCTCGTTGTGGCCTCCCAGCTGCGTGAGAAGCGGCAGGGGAACGGCGACCCGCGATCTGGAGGCCGGAGGACGAGGACAGGTGTGGGAAGGGGCTCGCAGGGCGCGTCCGGTGGGCTAGGGCGGGGACGACCACCCCGGGCTGGCGATCCTGGGGCACCTGCAGTCCTCGCGAGGAGTGTGCCCCAGCCCGGGCCGGACGCACCAGTAATTGGTGCCCCGTCTCCTAGAATTTCGATTTTCTGAGGTCGTTGTAAATGGGACCGATGGTTCACCCTGGGCCAACTCAGCGCAAAGTGCAGAATCCCAGCGCGGGGTTCTGCCCGCTGCTCTGCGCCTGGGATGTCTGTTCTCATACACACTCCCCTCTCCGAGGCGGGAAATCGCCCCCAGGCACCGCGTGGGGCTCGCTGAGGCCTGGGGAGGATCCCCGCCGCCCCTTCTCCTTCAGACCCTTCACCCCATCCAAGCCCCAGAAAATGCGCCCGCCCGGGCGCGCCAGGGAAGGGAGGTGGAGAAAGACTGAAGCCATTCGGTGACCTTGTGACCTCTGGCCTTGAACCCTGGAGCCGGAGTGTGTGAACTCTGCGTCCTTCCCGGGAATGGGACCCTGGCCCGGCGGGCCCCCGAGCCTTAGACCCGCCCCCGCCGCCACCCTGCCCGGTGCAGGCCGCCATAATCAGGTTAGCCGGGCCGGAATTACATTACCTTCCCCCGCCCGCCCCGGCCCTGGGGGGGGACCTGGCGCCTCCGAGCCGGTGAGACTGGGCGCGGGGAGGGAAGCGCCCCTGCCATCCTGCAGCGGGTGGGCACCGACCTGCGGCTCAGCGGCCTCAAACATGTTGTGGCCAAAAGACCCCGCCCCGCCCCGCCGTGCCAGCCCTCGCCCTTCGCCCCCGGCCCTGTGCATGCTCAGCTCCACCCTGACAGTTCCCCGTGTGAACCGAAATGCTTCTAAGTCTACTAGACGGGTCTCCCCGACACTGGGCTTCCAACTGAGTCCTCAGGACCCCCTGGGAAAGACTGGCCCCTCCTTTCTTCTCCCCAGCAGATGGGCTGGCAGCCTGGCGCCTGGGGCAGGGTGAGAGGGTCTTTTCCCTCTTGGGAACCAGGAATGATATTTGGGCATCTGGGCAGGCAGATAGAGAGAGAAAAATAGGCTCTCTCCTCACCCAAAACCATTGGCTCCCCGGATTCTTAGAAGCTTCAGCCTGAAGGAGGGGAACCATGGTGGGGACCGCGGACGTGGATAACACTCTGTGATAACTCTCTCCACCTTGGTCACCTCTATCAGGCAATTTCTCCAGCCCTTCCCACATCGCTGCCCACAGCCCCTTCTGAAACCGCATGGATGCTGTTGCCGATCTATCGGTTGGCGGTGTTATGAACTTGGTGAAGCAGACATTACTACCTCCGTATCTCTTCACAGAGACCCTCACCCTCCCAGCAGAGGGAGGCTGAGAGGAGCATTGGAGGAGCATGAAGCCTCTGACATTCAGGGAAAACCTTCAGAGGCAGCATAGGTTGGACTCCACCAGGGAGACAGCAAAGAAATACAGCACCTGAGGGCCTCCACCCCCGGTGAAAGGTGAGTTTGCCAGTCCCTTCCCCAGCTCTGGATGGTACCTGGGGTGAGGGCAGCAACCACAGTGTCTCCAACCAAGCTGAATAAATACTTCTCCCGTGAAGCCATGAGTAAACCAGTGAATGAGGGAGAGGTAACATGCTGCAGACCTGGCTCACCTATGCCCATCCCTAGCTTCTGAGGTCAGCACAGAAGATACTACACTCAGAGATTGTTCAACTGACCCACTGAGGAGAACGGTCACAAACAATAATACAGACGTTTTGGAGGAGCTTAAGAAAAAATTTTTTTAATTTTTGAGACAGGGTCTTGATACGTAGTTCAGACTGGCCTTGAACTCACAGGGATCCTCCGGCCTCAGGCCCCTGAGTGCTGGGATTATTGGGATTATAGACACCATACCTGGCAGAGAAAAAAAATTTAGTAGCCAGGTGTGGTGAGACATGCCTGTAATCCCAGAACTCTTGGGAGGCTGAGCCTGGAGGATCACTGAGTTCAAGGCCAGTCTGAACTACATATGAAGACCCTTTCTTGAAAAACAAACAAACAAACAAAAAACAACTCTCTCTCCCCTCATCCTTCCCTCCCCACCATAGGGTTTCCAGATAGGATACCTCATTAGACAGTTGAGGCTGGCCTTGAACCCATTATGTGGCCCAGGCTGGCCTCAAAGTCTCCTTCCTGAGTGCTGGGGTTAGAAGTCTGCACCACCATGCCCAGAAGAATTTCCCTTCTTTCCTCCACCTCTCTGATTGTCAGGAAAACGTTGGCCCCTACTAGTTCGCGCTGAGGATAGAGGCACAGGGGTGAGCACCTCCTCCTTGAATCACTTGGGATCTGCCTCCTCCCTCCCGTCCCCTATTTCTATACCCACCCCCTAGTCTTTGGACATTCAAGCTTGTAGTGTCACAGGAAGAAGCCAAGCTTGGGGCCTCCACTCCTGCTCCCTCCCTTGCTTCCTGCTGTTAGGGGGTGTCCTTCTTTCCAGATGGTCCCCACTCCCATATCATAATTTCTCTCATCAGTTTAGTCCTTCCTGCCCACAACTGTCTCAGATCTTTATCATCTGGACAAAATCTCTGCCTGGCCCTTCAAGAGAAATTATGTTTTTCTTTGCTCTTTTACTGCCATGCCCACTGACTCCATTTCTTCATTTATTCTTTCAACCCAGTGCAAGCTGGCTTCTCTCCTCTAACCCTTAAAGAGCTCCAGTGTCTGGTGTTCTTCTCCAGCACTTCTCTGACGTGCCTTACTTTGTTGATCACCAACTATTTCTTGAAATGTCTTTCCTTTTGACTCATGGGGCATGATCTTAAATTATATCTTGGTTTTTCAGTATCATTGCTTATGTCTTTCTTCCACTGACCTTGTATTTTCTACTGAATATTGTGATCATTTTTTAGCCTTCGGCATCTCTCTGTCTTTTCAGGTTTCATCCATTTCAGTAATCTCAACTCTCAGATCAATCTGGACAACTCTCAGACCTGACATTTAAGCCACTCATTCTCCTGGTCTCCCGGACAGCTCCCTCTGCTTTTCTGATGTTCCTCACATCCAACTGGCTGAAGGTCGTGCTTACCCCTCCAACTCCTCATCCAAACCTACCAAATCAGGTTCTGGTTAATTCCTTCCATTATGCTTTCCTCTGAAGGTTTCAGATGCTCCCTTCCCTTCCCATTTCCACTGCCAAAGCCCTAACCTACAACAGCATCATTACCACCTGCAGTCATTCATTTGTTCATTCAGAAAATCCTGTTTGAATGCTTACTCTGTCCTAGCACTGGAGATATAACTGTGAACACAAAAGGGGAGAAAATAGGCTGCTTCTGAGAAGCTTACAGTGTACTGGAAAAGGCAGATGAAAAACTAGTGTGTGTGTGTGTGTGTGTGTGTGTATACATATATATATATATATATATATATATATATATGAAACACATAATAGAAAAATAGATTAAATATAATAGATGCAAAGCATTCTAATGTGTGCAAAGAAAAGCAAGGATGTGAAAGGGCAGGTGAGGAGGTTATTTACCCAGTGAACTCAGGATAAAGACCTGAAAGGAGCCAGGCAGAGTGGCTCACGCCTGTAATCCCAGCACTGGGGAGGCTGAGGCAGGAGGATCATTGCAAGTTTGAGACCAGCCTGGACTACAAAGTGAACCTAAGGCCAGCCTAAACTGCATAGGGAGACCCTGTATCAAAAAGATTTTTTAAAAAAAGACCTGAAAGGAGGGAGCCATTTCGGTATCCAGTGTTCCAAGTTGGGGCCACAGCAAGAGCGTGTCTTTGTGTCTATGGAACAGCGAGGCATCCACTGTGCTGGGAAAATTATGCAGGGCCCTGCAGACAGTTGTTAGGACTTCAGTTTTTATTGAGTGAAAAGGGAAGCTATAACAAAGTTTATTTCTTTTAGCACACGAGGTCCTGGGTTGGATCCCCAGCACCTCAAAAAAATTGTGTTTTTTTCTCTTGTGCAATGCCAGGGCCTCGGCTGAGTATTTCATTACTCAACCACACACTCCCCCTCCCGCCCTATCAAAGTGTTTTAAATAGAACAAAACAGAATTTTTTAAAAAATATTTTTGAGATAGAGTCTTGCTATGTCGCCTGGGCTGCCCTTGAACTTGCAATTTTCCTGCTTCAGCCTTCTAAGTGCTGGCATTACAGATGCGTACTACCAAGCCTGGCAATTTTCCTTCTCCTCTTCTTCCTTTTCCTCCTTCTCCTCTTTTTTTTCCTCCTTCTCCTCTTATTTTTCCTTTCTTCTTTTTTCTTTTTAGATAGGTCTCACTCTGTAGTTTAGACTAACCTTAAATTTACTATATAGCCCAAGCTGGCCTCAAACTCATTACAATCCTCCTGCCTCAGCCTTCTGAGTGTTGGGATCACAGGATTGTGCCACCATGCCCTGCTCAACTTTTCAATTTTATCTGTAACAACTTTCTTGAGGTAGAACTAAATACAATATTGTGCAGATACCTAAAGTGTACTCTAGCTGGGCGTGGTGGCTCATGCCTGTAATCCCAGCACTCGGGAGGCTGAGGCAGGAGGATCCTTGCAAGTTTGAGACCAGCCTGGGCTACAAGATGAGCTCAAGGCCAGCCTGAACTGCATAGAGAGACCCTGTCTCAAACAGACAAAAAAAAAAAAAAAAAAGTGTAATCTTTTTAGTACTGAAATTTGGACCCACAGCTTCACATATGCTTAAGTAAGTTTTCTAGTGTTAAGCTACATCCTTGGCTTTTTTTTCTTGATCAGACAAGATTTAGGTAAATTGTGTAGGCTGACTTCAAATTTGCAGTCCTCTTGCCTCAGCCTCCCAAGTAGTGGAGTTTGCAGAGATGCATTACCACACCCAGCCTAAAATATAATGAGTCTTGACATATGTATACACACAGGACTATCACAATTAAAATAATAAATGTGCCAGGTGTGGTGGTGCACACCTATAACCCTAGCACTCGGGAGGCTGAGGCAGGAGGATTGCCATGAGTTCAAGGCCAGCCTTAGCTATATAGCTCAAGGCTAGCCTGACCCACATAGAGAGACCCTGTCTTGAAAAAACAAAACAAAATAATAATAAACATATTCATCCAAAACTTTTCTTGTATTTTGATTCATGATTTATCAGAACTGCTGTGTGAACAGACTAAAAAGGGGGCAAAAAGTAGACACCAGAAAAGCAGTCAACGGGGGTGGTGGTGCATGATTGTAATCCCAGCTGCTGTACAAAGCTGATGCGGGAGGATCACCATGAGTTCTCCTTCCATGCCAGTTTAGGCTACATAGCGCTACAAGGGGGACCATGTTACATACACATAAGCCACTGCAATAATTCAGGGAAAAAATGATGGTGGCTTGGGCCAGGGAGCTAAGCAGTGGCTGTAATGAATAGTTGATCATTAACTCCTGGCTGTTTATCTATCCCAATGTTGTCTGAAGACTACTGCGACTTCCTCGGGTGCAGGGCTGGGCCTATGCTACTGCAGGCGCTCGCTGCCTAAGTGTGTCTGTGTACGGCAGTGTCCTAGTTGTCTTCCCCTCCTCCTTCGGCATCTGCTCTGCATTAGTCTGTCCCAGGCCTCCGCAGGCGCCGATGATTAAATCATCATCATTAACCAGGGCCTGCCCCCCATCCCCGGCAGCAGAGAGAGAATGCGGGGGGGGGGGCAGTAAGAGCACTATCAAGTCCCTGGGGGTCTCTTCCTCCCCACCCCAGCCCCAAGCACCCTCTCCTAGACTCCGCAAAACCCAGAGAAACTCTCGCGCGGAGCCGGGAGAAAGCCCGCCATCTGGATGAAGCTCCGCAGGGCGGACACGTCAGCCGCCCAGGGCGACATTACGAGGAGAAGACCCAGGAGGGGCTTCTTCGGTGGGGTCGTGGTCACAGGAGACCAACGTCCCCGAGCAGTAGCGGGTGGCGATCACCGGGCCTGTTGGGGTAGGAGGGGGCAGTCTTTCTCAGTATCCAAAAGTTAGTCCCGAGGCTAGGTTAGGTCTATTTAGATGACTGCTGCGGGAGGACCATGATATAGGACCCCTCCCCACACACCCCCCACTCCGTAATTACGACTGGGGAGGGGGAGGGGCCAGTGGGGCTCAGGTGAGCACACTGAGGAGAAAGGGACATGGGCGGGGCCTTGCAGAGGGTGAGCGAATCCGAAAAGAGTTAGACACTCGTTGCTAGGAGACAAGTCCCGCCCCGCAGGCGGCACCGGAAGTGGCAAGCCGGGCTCAGCCTTTAAGATGGCGTCTCCTCAGGGGGGCCAGATTGCGATCGCGATGAGGCTTCGGAACCAGCTCCAGTCAGTGTACAAGATGGACCCGCTACGAAATGAGGTGCAGGGGCGGCAGGGTTACTGCTGTGGTCCGCTAGCGGTGCGAACTAGGGCGGGCTAAAGGACGGGCGGTGGCTGGCCAGGCGCCCAGTGCGCTTGCGCAGAGACAGGGGGCCAGGTGCGCATGCGCGATCGTGGTCCGGTTGCCAAACTTTGCACTAGGACGCCTGCGCATTGTGTTTCCAATGTCGTGTAGTCTCCCCTGGGTAAGGAGGGTCAAGCAAGTCCACGTGAAGGGAGCCCCCGCTGTGAACGGAGCCCTCTGCTGGGCGGAGGAAGAGTGCCAGGCCCCGGAAGTTATCCCTTGACAGCTCACGGTGCGGGACTTGTTTGTGGAGTCTGATCAAAGAGGCGACCCCCAAGCTGGGAAGACATAAAATGCAAATGCGGGATGGAGTAGGGAAGGGTGAGGGATCTGTGACGGAGGGTGTACCCGCAGGAGGAGGTCCGAGTGAAGATCAAAGACTTGAATGAACACATTGTTTGCTGTCTGTGCGCTGGCTACTTTGTGGACGCCACTACCATCACAGAGTGTCTTCATACTTGTGAGTGCCCTGGATCAAACCTGGCTCTTATAAGCCATTCCTCACTGACACAGGCCAGCTTGTGTCCTGCTTCCCCCACCTATCCTATGAATCAAGTTCCCAGAAGGCCTGAGATTCTACTCTTCTCTTCCTCCAGTCTGCAAGAGTTGTATTGTGAAGTACCTCCAAACCAGCAAGTACTGCCCCATGTGCAACATAAAGATCCACGAGACACAGCCGCTGCTCAACCTCAAACTGGACCGGGTCATGCAGGACATCGTGTACAAACTAGTGCCTGGTTTGCAAGATAGTGAGTGACCAGCTTGACTTTGAGGGACCTCTTGGGGATTCATACTAGGTTTTGGTGGGTGGCAAACTTTATTTACTTATTTATTTTTTAAGACAGAGTTTCACCATGCAGTTCATGCTGGCCTTGAACTCATTGCAGTTAGTCCTCCTGCCTCAGCCTCCAGGGTGCTGGCTTTGGTGGGACTCTTGTATATAGAGATCAGCAGAACAAAGGAGAACTAATTCTTTACTCCTTTGCTTCACTCCTAGGTGAAGAAAAGCGAATTCGCGAATTCTACCAGTCTCGAGGCTTGGACAGGGTCACCCAGCCCAGTGGGGAAGGTATGTCCCTGGGAGGAGGGTAAAGCAAAGCTCCCAAATCATTCCTGCCACCTATTTTTGCTCTCTGGGAAAGGAGGGTTATGGAGCCTGTACCATCTGTTTTTCGCAGAGCCAGCCCTGAGCAACCTTGGCCTCCCCTTCAGCAGCTTCGACCACTCTAAAGCACACTACTATCGCTATGATGAGCAGCTGAGCCTATGCCTGGAGCGGCTGAGGTGAGGTGCAGATCAGGGATTATGTGAGGTGACAGACCGAGAGCCAAGGGGGGGCCTGGGGAGAAGTTAGGCAGTCACGGGGTGTCCTTTCCTTTAAAGAGTATACTTTGGTTCTTGTTGGAGGAGAGAAGGAAAGATAGGGCCCACTAATCTGTTTCTCTTTCCCTCCAGTACTGGCAAAGACAAGAATAAAAGTGTCTTGCAGGTGAGTGGGGGCCGAAAGGAGAGCCTCTTTAAGGCGACTGACCTCCCCAGGGCCCTTCCCTCAAGCACTTTGTCCTCTTGCCTTCCTTTTCTGCCCCTAGAACAAGTATGTCCGATGTTCTGTTAGAGCGGAGGTACGCCATCTCCGGAGGGTCTTGTGTCACCGCTTGATGCTAAGTCCACAACATGTGAGTGATCCCACAGTAGATTTTTCTGAAGAAGGGGCTAAGGAAGAGAAAGACAGGCTCTAGGGTAGATTGGGATGAGTCTAGAACCAAAGGAGAGTTCCTAAAACTGTCTGTCCCCATGTCCCTTTTAGGTACAGCTCCTTTTTGACAATGAAGTTCTCCCTGATCACATGACAATGAAGCAGATATGGCTCTCCCGCTGGTTCGGCAAGGTAAGCAGGGGTAAGGGTGGCCTGAGGGGCCCCTCAAATAATGCTGTTCACTGATGATTGCTTCCTCTTTATTTCTCCTTAGCCATCCCCTTTGCTTTTACAATACAGTGTGAAAGAGAAGAGGAGGTAGGGGCCAAGCCCCACTCCACCCCCTTCCCTTCCTTCCCCAAATATTTATGTGAAATGAACTGTGGCTTTATTTTTTGAAATAAAAGCTTTTAAAAAGCATCTTTCTTCCTCCTTCCTTGCTCAGGCTTTTTCCTGTGTGCTCCTTCCCTCGAAAAAGTTCTCTGAGCTTCTTTGTGAACAAGGGCTCTCCTTCACTGACAGAGGCCCTGGTGTCTTGCCACAGGAGAGGGATAGCTCATCCTAAGAAAAACTCAGAAAGTGCGCTGAAACCCCGGCCAACTCTTTTTGTTAAAGGGCAGGCTTTCTGTAGGGCAGCTCTCACTGTCCTTGTCTGCTGCAGCAGCATGGTGCAGGCCTGCTTGGAGCTGTCCTAATCCCATGTGGATCGAGGAGGGTGGGGTTGGACAATGGCCGCTGCAGACCTGAAAAGGAAAAAGCAAAATCCGGAGAATTGCATCCTGTTTCTGTGACTGGAGGGAGAGGGACAGAAGAGGAATCTAAAAAAGGGATGAGGTGGAAGCCTTGGAGATAAAGTGGGAGCTGATTTGGAGAACAAGGGCAGCTGTCAAGTAACAAGGAAGTGGTCACACAGCTCCCTGGTCCGATCAGCCAGCATTCCTTCCGGTGTGAGCCTCATATTGTCTGTATGAGCCTGGCCGTGCCCGCTGGGCTCCGGCAATAAACCCAGCCAGTGTCCTTGTTCTAAGGGGCCTCTAAGTGGGATAGCCAGAAACTTGCCAAACTGGGACAGCAACATCAAAAGCAAAGACCTCCTGAGGGAAGCAAACTGGGTCAAACAATGGAGCAGTCAGCATAAAGATCGAAAGAATGTGAGTTTAAAGCCTAAATCCCGAGCTGGAAGGCATCTGACTCCAGGGCTTAGAAGGTGATAAAAGCTGAGGACACCAAGCTCCCGAGTTTCTGTGGATGGAGGTCACATGGCAGAGGAGGCAGTGAAGGCCTAGGAGGTTGCTGTGCCTGACCCCTGAACTGAGTAAGAAAGCTCAAACCAGGAGAAAAACCTGAGCTTGATTTTGGAGGTTTTTCAGCTGGCCAATCTACCCGAGTTTTCTGGGAATTCTGCCTGATCCCACAGCTGAAGGTTGTAGCAGCACTACAACGAAGACAAACTAGAGAGGCTGAGAAAGCACTTCAGTGTGGGGGAAGGTGACAGGGACCTCAGTGGGCACAATCCTGAGCCCTTGGTTTGGGTACAATTCCTGACACTCCAGGTTGCCAAACTTTCCTCGAGTCTGGACCGCTCCCCCACCCCAGGGGGCCCTCTCACCTTCGGAAAACCTCCCAGTAGACATTGCTGTTTCTAAGACCTTTGAGCCTGCCACAACACCGGAGCATACCTCAGGCTTTGGGCTGAACTATCTCTTTCAAGATTCCCTACTCCTTTCCCTCCAGATTTAAATGCAACCTGGCACCCAGGGTGTTTGTCCAAGAGTCTGCAAACCAGCATTTCCTAGCTGGAGTGACCAGCCCTGGAGTGGTGTGAGCCTGGGAAGAGTAGCAGTGCTTCTAGAACTTTTGGGTGCCTTGAAGCCTCAGGAGTTGGGGAGCAGCCAGGGCCTCCCCTGAAGGCCCTCTGGTTAGGCCTTGGTGGCAGCTTTGTCACCTAAAGGATGGGCCTAAAGATGAGTGAGCCTAAGGCCAACTCAGGAGATCTGCGCACCAGACCTCCAGATGGGTCCTCTAAACGAAGACTTTGGAGCTAAAGGCGCTCAGGCTTAGGCCTGCGCCTAATACCTTGGCCCAGCCTTCGGTTTATCTGTCAGCACAGTGGCTGCAGCAGCTGTGATGCATCCCTGGTGGCCTGATGCCTACCAGCTATGGGCCCTGTGAGTCCATTTCCCCTTCCCATTCTGACGCTGCGTCCCTAGGATGCAGTCTGGTGGATGGGTTAGCACACTGACCCCAGAGCCCTTTGAACTCAAGGAGATGCAGCCCAGGGCCACCCCTCCCTCCCTCTAGCTTGGCCTTGCAGCGCTCGCTCGAGGTGGAGACTTCGGTCCTCACCTGCAGGGCTAAATCTGCCCCTCCCTATTCAGCCCTCACCTTCCCTGTCACCGAGCTCTAAACCCGGGCTGAAGGAGCCCGCCATTGGCACAGAGGAAGACGGGTCCCGCTAAGCTTGGCCAGCCTTTGCCAGTGTTGGCGGCAGAGCGGAGGCGGGGCGGGGACTTTGCTAAGCAGCGCTCGCAGGAGGCTCTGAGCCCGCGGCGCCCCTAGCAGCGCAGTCGCGACCCCCTGAAGACGGCCAGAGCTCGGGGAGCTGCGAACCAGCTAACAGGGCCAAAAAGAGCTCACACTCGCCGCGCCCCAAGTAAGGAAGGAACCTAAAATTTCAGGGCCTGAATCGGGCCACTGAACGGTAAGGTCTTCAGAAGGCGAAAACAAATCCCCTAAGTGTATAACTAGACAGGCTGACACCCGTCCCCAGCTCCGCACCTGGATTTTCCTCACAGTTCCCACTTACCTCCCACGCTGTGTATTTTCCCCAAGTGCGGGAAGGAGGAGTGCAATACTTCCATGAAACGCTCATCCACGGCCCCAGGGGGTTATTCTGAGATTCCTCCAGCACCCCCACCCCGCCCCCGCCACACACAAGCACGCACGCAACTGGGAATTCCGAGGAATGCGCGGGGCGGCTATCAGAGACTAAATGTGGTTTTACTGAGCAGACCTCAGGACCAAGTGGGGGTGGCGAGCTGGTGTCTCTGTGGAAGACCCCGAGGGTGACAGGCGCGGGTGCCTCTAATGGAAAAGATAGGACTGTGGGGTGAGAATGGGAAGTCTGAAAGCGGGTAATGAGGGGTGTGGCATGAGAACTATCCTTAAGTGGGCAGAGGAGTACCTTCCCATAATGGGTGAAGATTGGAATGTGGGGATCTTTACAAGGAGATTCAGTGCAAAATCCAAAAGAATCTGAAGAGAGGATGAGGGAATCCTTGGAGATCGGAGATGAGACTGCCAACGAACAATGATGATGGGAAGGAAAGAGGTGGAGTCCCCTGCAGGCTGTGGAGCCAGCCGGAGTTGGTGACCTGGGGGAAGACTTGGAGCGGTAGGGTTTGGCCTGGGGTAGCATTCAGCCGGCCTGGAGTAGGGGATAAGGCCAGAAGCGGTGCATAATGAGCTTCCAGAGCTCCCCCTTCCCAGCTCGCATGGGGGCGGGGTCTACGAGACACCTGAGAACCCCCCAAACCCAGAACCAAGGTTTAATCTTTTTTTTGTTTTGGTTTGGTTTTTAACGGTACGAGATCGAACTCAGGACCGCACACTTGCAAGGCAGGCGCTTATGCCACTGAGCTAAATTCCCAGCCCCAAGGTTTAATCTCTTAATCTCCGTCATTAATCACTCACCCTCCTCTGGCCCCCCTCCAAGGATCCGGTTTCTCCCCAGCTCACGTTCCAGATGCTTCACTGAGAAAAGCCCCCTTCTGTGGCCCCAGGACAGTCTGGACTACTCCCTGGCCGAGGAGATGACCTTGGTTTGGCTTCTGCTGTTCAGGCATCTTCCTTTTTACTGGTCTTTGCTTCCCTCCCCTCCCCCAAACTCCTGTCTGGGGACCATCCAACCGCATTACCTGAGCCAAGCTGCAGAGGGGAGAAGGTAGTGTGGGAGAGATGGAAGGGGAGGAAGTCAGAGGCCCATCGAAGAAGCCCCACACTCCTCACAGACACACGGGTTAATTGAGAGCAGAGGTAGACCCACATAAAAGCCATATATAGTGGATGCATGAGTGCCAGTTGCAGTGTCTGTTTGGTGACATGCCTGGGATATGGTAGGGCAGTTCCTGCTGTCTCTGGGGATCTGCTTTAATTGCAGGTTAAGTGAAACCACAGGATGGTGCTGAGGCCTGCAGCCAGAACATCTCTCCCGCCCTCCCCTGCCCCCTACCATTAATAACCAATTAACAAGGTCCTGAAGCAGCTCAGCTTTCCACTATGGCCTGGCTCTGCTCCCTGACCCAGCAGTGGCCTGTCAGGCTTCAAGTCTGTTGCCCAGGCCACCATGAAAAGCACTATGTGAAAGTCTGAGTGTCTCGGGCTGTCACTGCAGGACCCCCTTTACCACTATCTAGATGCTTTCCCATCCATGTCAAGGAGTCTGGCTCTCCTAAACCCTGCCTGTGGTGCCCCAAGGAAGGGACAGGTGAATACAGAGAGAGGCACTGCACACATGGCAGTGTCGGGGGGTGCAGAGGTCCACAGGGAAGGGGACATAATAGAAGTGCAGGAGAGACTGCTCTGCTTCTTCACAGCATGTGGTGATGGTGGGGTTACTGGAAGAACATGAGTTCCCAACTGCCCTGTCAGCAAAGCAGCATCTTCTTTGAGAGTGGCTTCTCCAATCCTGGGCTGTGAACTCTCCAGCCACTGTATACGAAGTGAGCTAGAAGAAAGCTGACTCCTTGCTGAGCTCCCACGCAAGGGTAGTGTTGTCTCACAGTTGCCTTCTTTCTCCACGGGAAGTTCATTGCTCAGCAGATGAAGGCCCAGGGCCAGAATAAATGCAGGGGAGGAAGGAGACAGGGTCCAGGTAAATAGGAATGAATAGAGCAGCCTCGAAGTTGGTGCCTGGGTTGGCAGGGGTCCCATCAGATGGTTGGGCCCACAAAACCTTAGAGTCAGTCTTCCTGGGGAGTGAGTGACTCCACCTTGGTCAGAATCCCTCCTCCTCTGAGGCTGTTACTGAGCCACTGCAGGCCGGAGAAACCACACCTGAACGACAAGACTTCCTTAAAAAGCCAGATCCAGTAAGAGACCAAGAGAGTGAGTAGGAGGCCCTCAGTGGAGTCAAGATCCCTCCTGAGTAACAGCCCCACCTCCAGCGTGGCATATTTCTCTCTCGAACCTCAGGTCTCCGTGGATTTTGAATTGGCTGGGACCTCCAAGCCATAGTAGAGTGGACACTCGTCTACACTGGCTTCTTCGTGGTGTTCCCATTATTGCTGTTGATCTGCTAGGCCAGGTCCTCCCACGTCTCACCTCCCAGACCACCTGACACACTAATTGGTTCCAGCCACCCGGATATCTTTAAGAGTGTGCCCCACCCCATTTTTTTAGGGGTTAAGGCAGAAGAAGGGGCCAGGTTAGGAGACTGCGGTCTAGTTGAGATCATGGATCCTACCACAATCAATTCTGGTCCTCCTCCTCGGAACTTTGCAAATCCCCAGATATTGGAACAGGAAAAGCAGTTTATGAGGCGAAGCAGCGGCTAGGTGGGAGAGGCGGATGGCACGCACAATCCAGCTGAAGGGGCCCAGTTTGAGCGTGCAACAGGCTGTGACACGGCCCTACTCTGGCGGGTGGTTCTTCGGAGTTCTCCCTGCACCTCTCCACCCTGCAGAAATAAGGCTGCCGGGCCGTCTATGGGCTCCAGACCTCCGTGGCCCTGGGGAAAGATAGGGGCGCAGAAGGAGGGGCACACGGGACTCCAGCGCCGGGGGCGGGCCCGAGGCAGGGGGCCCGAATTGGGAGCCGACTCGGGGGCTCAGGCAGCTTCAGAGTGAAGCGCAGCGGGCGAAGGGACCACTGCATCCCGGCGGGCCATGAATTCGGGCCGCCAGCCCGGGACACTCTTCAGCATCGCGGACATCCTGGGCCCGCGCGCCGTCCCGCGGGCACCCTCTGCGCCACAGCGCGCTGAGCCCGGCCCGTACCCCGCGTCGCCGCTGTGCGCGCTGGAGGAGCTGACGAGTAAAACCTTCCGCGGACTGGACGCGCGCGGCGGCCCGCGAGCCCCTGAAGGTACAGCGGGCGGAGGCTCGACCTTGGCGGTCTCCCTACTGCTATCTGACCCTCGGGCTCAAACCTGCATCTCCCCCTGGCCGAGTCACCCTAACCCGCTCCCGCCCTTAGTCCACGCGTCGAGACTCGCACCTGCGGCCCCTCCCGCCTCTCCGCTCCGTGGCCTCCGAACTCCGGGCGCCCTCGAGGCCGCCGCGGGGACGGGCTGTGCAGGACCGAGAGGCGCGCGCGGGTTGGGGGGGGTTCACTGTAGGCGGGGCAGCGGCGACCCAGCGGGCTGCAAGAGACAAAAGGCCTCAGGCGGGGCTACTCCGCGGAAAACACCAGGAGCGGAGGCGCGGTCTCTCCAGGGCGCCGGACTCCGCTCCAGCCCGCGCCACTCCAGGGCGCGCGGGGAGCCCAAGGGCTCGGTGGCGCTGGGCGCACCCTGCCTTCCCCGCCCCCTCTCTACCGTCGCGCTTTTAGGCTCGCGGGTGTAAACCGAGGGCCCTACAGTCCCCGGGAGGCTAAGGAGGTCGCTTGCCTTCCCGGGCCCGGGTCGACGTCCCTACTCCCACCGCCTCTCGTGCCACACTAACCTGCCAGCCTGCTCAGCTCCAGGCGGCCGGACCTCGCACCAGACCCTCCAGCCTGTCCTCCTCTTTTTTCTTTCTACTCTCCCGGTCCTGCAGCACCCGTGGCCTGCTGCTCGGGGACCCCAGGGGCGGTCTGCACTTTGCACCCCCACCTCCACCCGACCCCCACGCCTCGGTAAAGTACACGGTTCCGTCCTCTTCCGTCTTCCTGGCTCTTTCGGGTCCCACGGGTCTGACCCCACCCCCAGCTTTTCCTCTCAGACCACAGCCGGATTCCCGCCCTCCGGAGGCTGATCGGGTTCTCACCCTCTCCCCAGGCAAGGCCGACCCAGATTCGCTGGGCCCCGTTTCCGCGGCCCGCAGGAGGCGCAAGTCACGCACTGCATTCACCGCGCAGCAGGTGCTGGAGCTGGAGCGGCGATTTGTCTTCCAGAAGTACTTGGCACCTTCGGAGCGCGACGGACTGGCTGCTCGGCTCGGCCTGGCCAACGCGCAGGTTGTCACTTGGTTCCAGAACCGCCGTGCCAAGTTCAAGCGAGACGTGGAGGAGATGCGCGCTGATGTGGCCTCGCTACATGCGTTGTCCCCTGGAGTCCTGTGTCGCCTAGCGCTGCCCAGTGGTGCCCAAAGCCCTGGCTCCCACCCCACTGAACCTGACTTCGGGGCCCATTTATCAGACGAAGAGATACAGGTAGATGATTGAAGGCAAAGCCACTGCCAGCTGTGGGCTCTGGGGCGCTGGACTCCTCGCCTTCTCGATCTTTGTTTGTCTTGTCTGTGTTTGGGGGTGGCGGGAAGAGGGTCCACCCGGGTTCTGTTCTAGCCTACAGTCCAGACGTCCGCCTTTCCTAACTGTTGAAAATAAAGTTAAAGTTCTGTTGCTAAACATCTCAATCCAGACCTCCGGGCCAATAAACAGTAAAACATGTTGATTACTGGAGAGATTTGGTGGCAGCGCTGTGAAAAACGCTTGAAATGCAAAATGTCTCCTTTAACCCTCATAGCAATCCTACAGGATAGGTGTATAATTATGCCCATTTTACAAAAGAAGAACTTTGAGGTCTAGATTTGACCTGGGCATCCGGTCAACCTTCAGATCGGTATGTCATCCTTCTGCTTAGGAGACATTGGACAGAGAAAAAGGGGGCTACGACTATCTGTGGCTGCAGGCCATTAAGCCTCAACCTCCTGCCTCTCTAACCAGACCGGAGAGGCTTCTAAAATAGTGGCTGGCCCCAGAGAGGAAACAGGGCGCCTGATCATTTCCTCTTTCCCTACCTTGCGGTCATTTGTAGTAGATTCCCTATCTGTTCCCCTGCCTGCATTAAGAGCTCTATGCTAAGACAAAGCAAAGGCCATCTGCAGAGAGGGCATCCCCTGCCTCCGGGGCTTGTATGGTTCCTGTGCTGCCAATGGACCCACCAGGACCAGCCAGCAAAGGGTGGGAAAGCTGGCCGGATGCAGTGGAGCTTGGAGGAGCTGGGCTTGCTGCTGGGGATCCCAGCCCAGTTCCACGCTGACATTTCTGACATTTATTTATTCTGCTGGAGATTAATCACCCTCTTGCAGGGTGATGGGGGAGGGACGGGGGACACCTGATAGCTGCAAGAGTTCCCCATCGCTGGCTATCCAGCTAACCCAGCTGATCTTTGGGTTTTTTCCTGCTTCCCTGTCTCCCTTCAGTCCTCTCAGCTCTCCCCAGACGGCCTCCTGCTTCTGCCCAGATGTGACAACCCCACTTCCAAAGATGCCCCAAGGGTGGGGCTAAGGCCCCAGTTGCAGGTGGATAGCCAAGTAAAGAATATTCCAGGGTGGGTGGACAAGACTGGAAAGCAAAGCTGAGTGTGGTGGCATATACCTATGATTCCCAGCTTTTAGGAGGCTGAGACCAGCCTACGGTACATAGTGAGTTCAAGGGAGCCCGAATTGCTGGGCATGGAGGTACATGCCTGTAATCCCAGCATTCAGAAGGCTAAGGTAGGAAGATCACCACAAGTTCAAGGGCAGCCTGAACTACATATGGAGACACTGTCTCAAAAACAGAAGCAAACAAACAAAACAAGACTGGGAAGTAGAAGGCAACCTGGCATCTGGGGGCTACAACTCCCCTTGTTCTGAGTGCTTTGGATGGGATACTACTCACAGTGGTATTACTCAGTGGGCCAAAGATTTTTTATTCCCGTTTTCAGAGTAAGGAAACTAAACCACAGGAGCCCAAGAAGATTAGCCAGGCTATGCAGTCTGTACGTGGTGAGGTGAAGTGAGGCTCATCACCTTCATGGCTGGGGGACTCAGGAACACATATTTTTGGTCAGTACAGGTACTGTTCCTATAAAGGTGACTGGGCCCACACCTGTAATCCCAGCACTTAAGTGGCTGAGGCAGGAGGATCACTGCAAGTTTGAGGCCAGCCTGGCTACAAAGTGAGTTCAAGGCCAGCATGAACTGCATAGTGAGACCCTGTCTCAAAAAGACAAAGGAGTGGGGGAGGGCGGGAAGGGTCCAAGGTAGAGAGTAAACACTACTGTGGGCAGAGAATGGGGGCAGGTTAGAGGGGAGAGACAGGAAGCAATGTTCAGAGCAGGTTAATGTGGCTGAATGTGCAAGATGGACCAGACCCTGGCAGAGACCTGAGGAAGGCCACTGTGGTAAGAGCAGAGGGATTTCAGGACTAGACTTTGGAGTGGGTGGATGGTCACAAAACAGCTATGATAACTTCCCAGTACAAAGAACTGTCTGAGTCCGTGACAATTATACATGCCTGGACAACTGAAAGAAAAAAAATAAAAAGACTTTGTGGCTAGAAAGACAAAATACCCTTGGAATAGGGTTTTAAATGTCAGTCATTATACATAAAATTTATTCTTTGCAACTGTGCTGCCTTTCAACACACATGTGCAACCTATTTACCGCCCCAGCTCCTGTTGCTTACTCCCTTCATCACTAAAGGCTGCCTTTCTGGAAACTTTCTAGGTGGTGACCAACTCTTCTGTCTGCCCCAGGAACTTTCCCACTCATAGCAATGAAAAACCCACACCCTAGGAAAGCCAAGATGGTTACTCACCGCTTTACATTCCCAGGCTGCTGGGGTGGAACCCTATTTATTAGGGCAGCTGAGTGTGAGTATGGGCAGAGTGGAGGCAAGGTGTCAGGGGTCCTGTGGCTCTTGGCTAGAAGATTCCAGTTCAGGCAGGCTAAGAGGCGCTGGTGAGAGAACATTTGCCTGCTAATTAGAAGAGCACTGGGAGGACCATGGTATAGCTAAGTGGCACAAGCCCCTGCCTGGCAAGTGCAAGGTCCTGAGTTCAATTCCCAGTTTAAAAAAAAAAAACGCACTGGGTATGGTGACACATGTCTGTAATCTCAGCACTCTGGGAAGCTGAGGCAGGAGGACCACCAAATTGGAGCTCAGATTGGATGATCTAGGGATTTGGACACCAGGCTTTCCAGGGTGGGGGGGCTGGGAACATAGCTTAGCATGAAGAACCTGGTTGTAGTAATTTTTTTTTAGTAGAGCAAGAAGCTGGCTCATTGTAAAGGCTAACATGCCACATGGTACTAGTGAATGACTATTCTTTGAGGGGCTAGGAGCCCTAGTAAAACTCCTGAAGCATCTAGATCCAGCCCCCACAAAAGGCCCTGTGGGCAGAGTTCTTAAGGAGTCATTAATTCCCACTTAAAAAAACCAAAAAACCACCACCTCTTGCTACCTCTCCCCAAACAGGGCTGAGCAGAGCAGTCCCAGGGAGGCCACTCCCGCTAGGAAAAGCAGGTACAGTCAAGCTGACTCTGAAGCACAGCGGCCTCCTCATGCGGCTTCCTAAACTGCAGCCCAGAAAGGGCTGCTGCCTCATACTCAAGCCTTAGGCAACATCACCCAAATCTGGGCCTGGGTATTTAGCTCAGCGGCATAAGCGCCTGCCTTGTAATCAGGCAGTCATGAGTTCGATCCCCAGTACTGATAAAAAGAAAGTCCTCTGTGTTAGGGTCCTGGAACGGTAACTGAAACAAATTTCTGGGCCCTATTTTCTTGATTTCCAGTTTGGTGCAAGCCTGACCTAAGGCCTGAGGGTTTGCATTTGTTATAAGTTTCTAGTTGATGCTGATGTACTGTTTCTGAACAGTTTGAGACCATCAGTCCTAGGAATTCTGGATTTTCTAAACTTTAGCAGCAATTCACTCTTAATCTCCTCTTCCTATTGTAGGAATCACAAATATGTAAGACAGTTGCGCGCAAAATGTGATTTAGCATTCTCTATGCAAAATGCATTTCGTAGATATTTTATTACTGTTTCAATCCTCACAACAGCCCTGTGAGGTAGGGACTTCCCCCATTTTACAGATGAGGAAATTGAGGCTTAACAGAGAGCTGACCAAGATGATCCAACTAGTAATGGCAGACTTCATCTTGCTAGATAGTATTTAAGGAGTCCAAATCATAAACAGTAAGAAAGATGGGGGTATGTAAGATGTTTCAAATTCTCTCTCCAAGTACAAACTGTATTGGGCAAGACTTAAAGGGCAAAAGCATCATTTAGCCTCAGGAATGGTTCCTGGATGTGGGGATTACAGCCCCTAAGGATCCACACTTAAATGGGTTTAGAGTCCTAGCCATCGGCTGGGAGGAAACAACTATGCGAGGCTGCCAGGATCTTAAAGACAAAAGGAGATAATGGTTCTTACAAAGGAAGCAACTATAACCATCTTGAGGCCGCTGCCCTTGGTAGGAAACCTCCGATGGAGAAAGGCCACCTGCAGTGTCCAGTGCTGGGGTGAAGAAAGCCAAAGCAGCAGCAGCCAGGGTACCACGCAGGGAGTGGGGAGACGTGTGGGCCCTGTGAACTCCAGGCAGGAGTTATAAGAGACTGCCCCAAAGCAAACCCTTGAGCAGAGGGAAGAGGTGGCCATCAGACCACTGGACGAAAGAGAGGTCAGAGTACGCGTTGCAGCATGGCCAGAAAATGGCACAGGGGACTAGCAGCAAATTAGGAGCTGGGGCCAGAAAAAATGGCAAGAACTAGGGTGAGGACAAGCAAGGGAGCAGAGCGTCCACCAAGCTGCTGACGGGTGGTGGGACTCAAGCTCTCTTCACTCATCACCCCACTGTTGAGCACAGAGCTCCACCTAGTGAATGAGTTCCCTGGGGCCAGGAAGCACCGCAAGTCCCCGTGCCTGCTCCGTGCTGGCCCTGCTGTGGTTCAGACACCCGAGCTTCTGCACACTGTAGCCCCCACCGTGGCAATAGTGGGCGGGGATAGACCCTGGCACCTTTGCGCTGAGCTGCATCTCCAGCACACTGTTTCCCCTTGAGACAAGGTCCTTCTAAGTCACTACGTTGCCCAGGCTGATCCTCCTGCCTTAGCCTCCCAGGGCACGGAGCGCACAGCTGTAGCTCCCTATCTTGAGTGCTTGGTGGAATTTCTGTTTCCTTATTGTACCCAGAAGCAGCAGCCAACTGTATGAGAAGCAAAGGAGGGATGTTTCAGTGGATGTGGGACTGCTTTTTCTCAGAAGACTCTCTGTGGCAAAAGGAATGATTTCTGGGATACCCTAATACGGAATTTGTTTGTTTCTGCAATTCAGGGTATAATTCAGGCTGGCCTTGAAGTCACTGTGTAGCCCAGGCTGGCCTCAAATTCCCACTAGGGGCATTCTTCCTGCCTCAGCCTCCCAAGTGCTGGGATTATAGGTATGCACTACCACACCCAGCTCTTAATATGGATTTAAGAGTCTCAAACTCTGCAGTAAACTGTCAGCACAGTGTTCCCTATCCCTATGGGATGTACACATGGCCTCACTTGTATGAAAGTGCCCCCTCATCTGGCCTGAGGTAGATAAGGGCACCCAGGTTTCGGGATGCCCCAGCTCTTTGAGGGGCCCTGGAAATGAAAAAGGTAGGGTCTTCTAATCTGAGTCTGGGGAAAAGGCCAGCTGGGTTGGCTCAGATGACATGCAGGATAATTCAAGGGTGGAGACAGAAGCCCTGGGGCCCTTGAAGCCATGCTTTCATTGAGGGAGAACAGGCCTGAGTTTCCCAGCTCAAAACGGGGAAGGGACTGGGGAACCCCAGTCCAACAAGGTGGCACACAATTTCTTCCTCGTTGATCCTGCTGAGAAGGGAGAGAGAAGAGCACATGAGCTCACCATCCCTGCACCCTCCTTACCCACAGGACACGCAGATGGCACTACATGGCCTCTCAGTCTCGGCTGGCGCTCCCCATGGCCTGAGACTGAGGGAGGGTCCGGTGTTCTTACCTGAGCAAGTTGGAGAAGACAAGCTCGGAGTTCCCAGGCTGCGTCCGGCTGGAATCCATGGCTCAGAGTCTCCTGGAACACAGCAGCTGCCTCCTGGAAGCGCTTCAATCCCAGAGAGATTGAAGAAGGGAAAGTTTAGGTGTCAAGGGGAACCAAGGAATTTTAAACTGACAGCACCTCCTAGTACCACTACGGTAGAGATGCTAACCAGGAAATGTCAATGTAGATCCCAGATCCACCACCTCCTCCCATCTCTCCTCTGCTTTCAGTCCAAGTCCTGTTACCTGCAGGCCCATCAAGGCCTTGCCCAGGCGGAAGAGACCCCGGGGCCAGCCAGGTTGTAGGGTAAGGGCCACCTGGGCATCGGCCAGGGCCCACACTGGCTGACCCAGTCGTTCATGGCAGAAGGAGCGATTTCCAAATAACCTGATAAACACAGAAAGTGGCCGTGGGTCTGGGTCTTCCACACTCTGCCTAGGCCTCACCTCCCAGCCCGGTGGCCAGACCCCTACCTACCTGTGGTCCTGGGGGTTGAGCTTCAAGGCTTCGGTGAAAAGAACAACAGCCTCCTGGTAGAAACCATTTTGAGCAAAGCTGGTACCCAACTCTGGAAAAAAAAAAGAGAGGGTAGAAAGGTTCCACAAGGGCTCCCCCAGGGAGGAGAAAGGATCTTAGGGGAGAGAAAAGGATCTTACTTGCCAGCTCCTGGCTCTGCTGCGAGGCGGCTGCCAGCAGTCCTGGAGATGCCTGGGGATGAGGGGAAGTCAGGCAGGCCCCAGGCCGTGGTCCTCCACACTCTTCCGCCTTTGCTCTGTTACACTGCAGCTAGTACCACCCAACTACTGTATGCATTTCTCCTGACACCCTGCAAGAAAGTATCCTCCTCCAGAGAAAGCTACCCAGAGTCAGGGTGACAGTGATGAAGCAGACACCAGCCCTTTGGCTCTAAGAGGAGAGACCTCCTCATGGACAGTCCCCTTGACCCCTAGTTCATGTGCCTCCACAGAGCCTCTGGGTCCTCTGCCCACCTCACCTGTGCCTTAGGACACTGCCTAGGCTTCTCTTCTCTTGGGGGGTTTCTTTCCTTTTGGCCCATCTTCTCCTGGGGGCCTTGGTCCTTGACTTGGGGCTCTTGGTTTGGTCCCTTCTCTCTGTGGGTACTTGGGAGGCAATCCCCAACTTTGCGTAAAGCCAGAGACACAAAACTGCTAGAGAGATCCAGTAAGTCCTGTGAGCAGAAGGAAAGTCAGGGGTACAGAAAGACAAATGAGGCATGTTCTTACCTATATATAGAAGCTAAAAAGCTGATTTCATAGAAGAAATACAGAATAGTGGTTACCAGAATGTGGAAGGGTCTGGGGGAGGGAGAATACAAATAAGAGAGTTAATGGGTACAGGGTTGCAGTTACATATGATAAATAACTTCTAGGGTGGTTTTTTTTTTGGTACCAGGGATGGAACTCATAACCTTGCGCTTGCCAGGCAAATGCTTATGCCACTGAGCTAAATCCCTGGCCCCCATTAACTTCTAGTTTTATAAAATAGTAGGATAATTATGGCTGACAATTAATTATTTCTAAACATCTAGTAGAGATTTTGAATGTTCTCACAAACAAATACTAATTGGCTGAGAACATAGCTCAGTGGCACTGTGACTGCCTGGCAAGTAAGAGGTCATAAGTTCGATTCCCAGTACCAAAAAAAAAGTATCTAAGGTGATGGATATAGTTTGATTCCTGGCATAAAAAAAAAAGATATGCCAATATCTAAGATATGCCAATGGCTGATCTGATCATTTACACATTGTAAGCATGCACTAAAATGTCACACTAGCCACGAACATGTACAATTACTGTGTGTCAATTAAAAGTAAAATCTATTTAAAAATACATTTCAAAAATTTCTCAAGGAAAGTTAAAGAGGGGCTAAGAATGAATTATTTTGTTGAATAAGGAGGAGAAGATGGACAGAGCCAAAGAAGGGATGAAGAGGCTCTCACCTCTTCGTCACCACACTGCTCCTGAGCTGGGTTTCCAGCACTGGCTGAGGGGCTCTCATTCTCCTCTTGGGTTGCTGTGGACTGGATGGAGAGTGGACAGGGCCGGGGTCACCTTGAGCCACCTCCCTTCTCAGCCTCCATCTTCCTGGTCCTTGTTGCTCTTGGTAGCTGCCCGTGGGACTCACCTTCAGCTTCCCACTGTCCTGTTCCAACCGCTCTTGTCGCTTTCTTTCCTTCTGACGCTGCAAAAATGGTATTTTTTAAAAAGCACTTACTACATTGCAGGTATTGGACCAAGTTTTGCATAAACCTTTTCATTTATTCCTGGGGCTCCATGAAGTAACTACTGTTATACTCTGAAAAAGCAGACAAGAGTCACCAGCCATAGGCCTCACGGCAAGGAGGAGACAGATTGCAGAGCAGTATAAGTAGGATTCTAGAGCCATCACACTGATGGCTTCCAGGAGAGCCTGCAAGCCTCAGCCCCTCCAGCCTGCCTGCAAGAGCTCCAGTGCCGGCTGCCTGTTGTCACTTCCCTCTCTCCCTTCTCTAAATCCCTCTGGGTCCCCCTCCTTCCACTCCCCAACCACCTTCTTCTTGCATCGTTTCTTCTCTGCTTTCCGTTTCATGCGCTCCTCCTCAGCCACTAGCTCCTCAGCCAGGCGATTGGCTTGCTGGAAAAGGAAGGGCAGGTGATAGGAAAAGAGGAGGAAGCAGGGAGAATGACAGAAAATGTTAGGGGAGGCAAAGTGCACACAATGATCTGGAAAGGTATAGATTAGGGGAGGTATGGGGTGAGACTATAGGGACTGTGACATTTCTTCCTGAGAATCTCACCTCTTCAGTCACCAGGAGCTTCTGGGGCATGGCCACCTGCAGTAGGTTGTCTGAGACACTAGAGAAGGATGGAGAGGCAGAGGGGCTTTGAGGGCAGGGTTCAGACCTTTGGAGAGGGTACAGGAAGGACTTCCGGAGTCCACAGTAGGTACCCAGTCCCTCAGCCCCTTTGTCCCTGTCACTCTGTGCAGTCGTGTTGCCTTCATCAGGGAAATGGTCCGGGAGGTAACCTGTCAGGAGGGAGAAAGAGAAGGAAAGGAAGCGGAACGTGAACAAGGGGAACACCTGTGGGTCAGCCCGCCCCGGGGCTCCAGCCTTGATCTTGGGTCCAGGCCCTGCACTCCCCACCATGGTGCCACAGCTGCAGCTTCCCGCTGCTCCCATCCACACGGATCCGGTGCAGGCCCTGGGGATCACTCTCCACAAGCTGGCGAAGAAAATCCACTATGCCCTGGGAGGGGGAGGGGAGGGAGGCTGGTGTTGGGGGAAGCTCTGGGACAGACAGGGGGTTGCCTGGCTTGATCTCTCCACCACGGCAGCCATCAAGCAGCTATCTAGCCCAGAGAATCTTTCTGGCTCTGACACCCCACCCCTCCCCCACTTTAAAATTTGCTCTTCTTGGCTTTCTTGATGCACTACCTGTATTTGCTACTTCCTGCATTCCTAAGGGCTGAGGGTGGCATTCAGCCCAGCCTTTGTGCCTTCCATGATCTTCTCCCTTTGACCTGTTACTAGATCAGCTGCATGGAGGCCCCTGGGATGGAGCAATGGAGCCCTGTCATATCCTTGAACAAAAGCCCCAGGCAGAAATAAGTACAGCAGCCGCTGGTGGCTTCTTCCCTGCACTGTTTCTCCCCCAAACCCAACTCTCAGAAATTATCCCTTACTTAAAAACTCCCAGTGTCCCTCATTGCTAAGGCCAGAAAGAGACTGAATCTAATGCCTCTGCCTAGCATTCAGAGCCTTCCAAAAGCTCCCTGGCTGACTTTTCCAACTTTCCCTTCCTCTGTTTAGCTGCCATCCTCTCTTGATCACCAGGCTTTCTCTAGTCTTGGTGCCTCCTCTCAGCTGTTCTCCAACCCTTCCTGGCTCAGAGCTCCTTTATCACATCTTGTCTCACTTTAAAAGTACAATTCCTATCTTATTTCCCCTCCAAGTCTCTTCAGAAGTTTTCATGTTCAATTAGTTCTGGCCTCTCTCAACCAAAATTCATTGCTTTTTTTGTTTTATCGGTATTAGGGATCGAACTCACGATCCCTGATACCGCTTGCAAGGCAGGCACTTATGCCGCTGAGCTAAATCCCCAGCCTCATTCATTGCTTTTTATTGCCCTCTTAATTGGTAACAAAGAATGGAGCTGGAAAGAATGCTATGCCAGAGGAGAGCCAGTTGCATCCTTATTTTTGACTATTTCTGCCTGGATCTTTCATTGAGCCTCATTGAACACCTTCCTCATTGACAAAATGAAGTAAAACTCTTCAAACTTTGATACACACACTCTATTTTATTTTTTGGATGGGGGCTAGGAATAGAATCCAGTGTCATTTGGTCTACCACTGAACTACACTTCCAGAATCCACACTCTGATTCTGATGAGTCATTTCCTCAGTGTGTGTAAGTTTCTGAGGACAGGAATCAACATATCCCTATGTGATCTTTGGTCACACAGGACCTGGCCCCAGTAGCTTCATGAATCTTCTCCTACTGGCTCCATTACCTTCCTTCAGCCACCAATCCTAAATTCCTACTTAGATCTTCAGATCATTGTCCTCTTTAGATGTCACCTCCTTTCTCTCTTTCTTTTAATCTTTTAACTCTACTCTGTTCCCTATTCTCCTTGCTCTTTCTTTAAACATACAGGAAAGAGTTGCAAGTTTAGCTCTTTGATGCTCCCAAATCTGATCCTGTCCCCCTCCTCCCACTTATTAACCCTATTCATTGCCTGACTGAAGACATCCAAACCTTTGTGCTAAATCCTTCCAGCCACTATCTGCCTTCTCTCTGGTTCTGTCTTTTACTGTTTCAACCAAATGCTTTCCAATGATCTTACTTTAGAGAGGCTCTTTTTATTTTTTCTAGCGCTTCCATTGTCCTCTCTCTACAATATCTTTCCCCAAGACACACATACCCATGCCCAGTTCTCAACCCAGACACACTTGTCTGCTCACTTCTCACTTTGACCATTTATTACGTGAGGATCGTCCTTCTGGTCCTTCATCCTTCACTAGGCTAGCAAGCTGCAAAGCTACTCTTCCCCAAAAACCCCAGAGCACTGTTTGGTGCTGGCTCAGCGCGAGTCTCAGCACAGTTGATTTAAAAGGGCAGGAACGAAATGAGGAGGCGGATCTCTAGAACCTCGAATGTCTAGGTGAGGTCTCTTTTACCTCTTCTCCGTAGTCCTCTGGACCAAATTCCTTGCAGAGTTCGGGAACACCAGCGATCCTCAGCGGGCAGCCTGGCCGCAGAGGGCAGTCTACAGGAAAGGAAGGCCGTGCCGCGTCAGGAGACTGAGGACAGATGGCGAGAGCCCTCCAACCTCTGCCTGAAGCATAAAATCCTACTAAAAATGTCCAGACAGCGAACCCAAGAAGGCTGCTCCTGCCTTCTTCAGCCCTCTTCGTCTTGTCACACCGCTCACCTAGCTTGATTTGTCCCACAGTCTTCGGAACCGGTGCCATCGCTAGTCAACAGGAAGCCGAAACTGAAAGTTAGTCTTGAATTTGACTAACTCAAGGGCTGGGTAGGAGAGAGAGAGTGGGCGGGCATCTTTGTTAAGGGCAGAAGCCCTTGATTACGGAGCGCGAGAGAGTCCAAGATAGTCTCCTAGGCTCCCGCGTAGGAGAGGGCTCTTGGTATTGGGCGGAGACCGAGCTACGACGGGCGTTGCGAGGTGCGGGGGAAGCGGGGATCCTTAGGTTTGTTTCCAACTCGCTGCTGCATGGCCCAAGCGTCTCGCTTTGGTGGCGTTCTGCCCCCGCTGTGGGTGCGACCCGGGGGCACTGGGGAGGAGCAATGGGAGGGAAGGCGGATGGGCCCTTTCCCCGGAGAGGGTCGTGGCCGGCAGGGGCCGCCGTTTGCCGGGAGCGTCCCCTGCCTGGACCTCCGGCCCGGCGGAGCTCCGGGAGAGCCGCTGCGATGGCCCACGTTAGCAAACGCGGGCGAGGACCAGGAGACTGGCGAGGCGGACTGGAGGCGGGAGCCTGCAGCCGGCAGCCCGATCCTTCCCGCGCTGCAGCGTCTCCGGCAGGTGCTGCTGCGGCTGCTCCGCGAGCGGGAGCAGCTGCTTCACGCCCGGGACTGCGCCCGGCACCTACAGGCAGTAGTGCGGCTCCTGAGGACCCCGAGCCCCAGCACGCCCACCGACGGTCCAGGGTCTTTGCCACAGCTGTGTCGCGATTTACAGCCACATACCTCGAGAGAAGCCGTCGTGCGAATCCGCCATCGGAGCCCAGTGGAGCCGCTACTTCTAGCGCGGCCCATCGGACTAGCAGCCCAGCGCTTGGATGCTGTCATCGAGATGCAGCTTCGCACTCTGGGCCGGGCTCCCGCCAGTCTAAGCCTGACGTCTCAACTCGCAGAGCTGCTGCTATCCCTTCCTGTCTACCACAGGCTGCAGGGAAAAGCCACGAGCTACCTCCCAGGGGCAGCACGCCCTTTCCACCCGGCCCGTGTGCTTAGTCTCCTAACCGGCGAACGGGGTTGCCAGGTGGCAAGTTGGCTGGATGAGGCATTCAGGGGATTGTGCTTGCGAGACCAGCTCCGCAGGCGGTGTCAGGAGGAGCGCGAGCTGCTACCTGGGTTGCTGGGCCTAGTGGGGGGCGCGGCCGGTTCAGTCAGCAGTGGGCTGGGGCTTGAAGGAGCTGGAGCCCTTTGGAGCCAATATTGGACGCTTCTGTGGGCAGCTTGCGCACGGAGTCTGGACCTAAACCTGGGACCCTGGAGGGAACACAGGGCAGTGGTACAACAACTGAGTGAGGCACTGGTTCAGGGTGAGTGATTGGACTTGGGTGGGCATTCGGGAAGGCCGCAGCGTTTACTCCTCCCCAGTCTGCTCACTCACTTGCCAGCCTGATGACAGGAGCAGTCTGTTTAGAATGCAAATCCCCTGGGTTCAGAATGCAGCTTCTGGCCTTTCAGAGCCGAGTTTTGCTTTTCTCCCCAGTCTTGAGTTTGGAGGACCCTTCTTTGAGTGGGGAGGGGCTGCGGAAAGGAAGACCTTGTTTTCAGGCTCTGGAGTCATTTCTCCCTCTAGAATCGCTGCCTCAGGAGTGTGTGAAGGAGCTAGCTTCTTTGTGCCACAACCTACTTCATCAGTCTCTTGTCCGAAGCTGGGACCAAGGTGAGAAGAAAGAGTCATTGGGGTGTGGCAAGACCAGGTTGCCGCTCCTGTATCAGACTGTACCCTCTCATCTTCAGGTTTCTGCCAGGCCTTGGCATCAGCAGCCCGTCAAGGTCAGAGCAGCCCTGCCTCGCACTCTCGTACTGCTGAGCTGTTGCAGCAGCTTTTTGCTCCACTCTTAGACACCTTCCAAGAATGCAGATCAGGATTGATTCTCTGTCAGCCACCAGGTGAGTTGAGGGCCAGCAAAAACAACTGGAGATGCCCCTTTGTTCCTTCACTCTGCTCTGAAGTCTGCCTCCTCCCAAAGGTGCTTCATGACCTGTAAGATACTCTGCTATTCTGCTTTCAGGTCCAGCACCTGTTGCCCTAGGGCTCTGTACCCTGCAGATTACATTGCTCTGGTTCTTGGGCAGAACTCAGCAGCACCTGGCAGCATGGGCTCCAGATTTCTTCCTGCCTCTGATCCAGAAGCACTTACCTGTGAGTGGCTGGGAAGTGGGGAGGGTGACAATTTAGGCTGCACTAAGCCCTCACTTCCTGTTTCCACACATAGCCTCTATTGCATGAAGCAGAAGCGTTAGCCCGTCTGACTTCAGAGGAAAACTTCACTGTGGAAGTGGAGCAGCAGCTAGGCCAGGAGATCCAGAAGCTGACTGCACAGATGCAGGTGAGGAGAACAGGGAGGGATCCTCGCAGTAGCAGTTTAAGATTCTGTTCTATGCCAACCAAGGTGGGAGGGCAGAGTGAAATATCACAGTGACTTGTAATCCTTGAAGTCTAAATTTATTTTATATTCATTAGGGTTTCTTTTTGGTCTTCTCTTTTAACTGTGTGTGTGTATGCGTGTGTGTGTGTGTGTGTGTGTGTGTGTTGCTGGGGACTGAACCTTGGGCCTCACACACCCTAGGCAAGCAGTCTACCACCAAGCTATATCCTCAGCCCCTTTAACTTCTTGCAGGAGGAAAATTTAAACATACACAGATGTAATGAGAAGGGTATGATGGACCTCCATACTCCCACCACGAAGGCTTTAAATATTATCAACTCATAGCCAGTTTTGTTTCATTTATATACCCTTCCAATAATGTCAGACTCCCATTCGGTAATATTAATAGTTGTGGACAATTATTTCTTAGAGTCATTATTTCATTAGCAGTGGCAAAAAGGTGACATTCCAATTCTGTCATTCCTTTTCCTTTATTAGTTGGCTAGCTCCAATAAAAAAAAAAAAACTGCCCTCATTAATGATTTGGATACCGTGAAGTAAATTCTGTAAAGAGAAAGCAGGATAAATGACTGCTTCTTTTTTCCTCCCAGTTTTCAATGCAATGTTTCTTTCTCTAAAAACTGTTTCTCTTTAAAAGTATAATATGTATTCTCATTAAAGTAAACATGTCCAGTGTGTAAAAAGAGAAATAGGTCAGGTATGGTGGCTCCCTCTGTAATTCCAATATTTGGGATGCTGACCAAGGGTGAGACCTTGTCTCAAAATAAAAAATCAAACAGGGTTGAGGGTGTAGCTCAGTGTTAGAGCACTTGCCTATTATGCACAAGTCTCTGGATTCAATTCCTAGCACTCCCGTTACACACACACACACACACACACACACACACACACACAGACACACACACACACACAAAGTGATTTACATAAAACAGTGTTTTATTTGTTTTTTTCTTTTGGTACCAGGGATTAAACACATGGCCTTCTCACTGAGCTACATTCCCAGAAATTTTTATTTTTGAAATTAATTTTATTGTACATTTTAGAATACATAAAGATCACATTCATCATATAGATTAGTACCTGTACATGATATATAATTCTTTTTCCCCCTTTTCCTACCCTTCATTCAACCCCTCTTCCCCTCATTTAAGAAGGCTTTGTTTCCCTTCTTTCTCATTTTTTCCCTTTTCCCTTCCTTCCTCTCCCCCACCCCCCCATCTCCAGTTCCCTTGCCCACTGGAACATTTTTTTCCTACTTCACAATATCTATTATACATTTTGATTCTTATTTACACTTTCCATTTCTCACACCAAGGAAACAATATCCCAGCCCTTTTTATTTTGAGGCAGGGTCAAACTGCAATCCTTTTGCCTCAGCCTTCCACAGTGCTGGAGTTACAGGTATGAGCCACCACACCCAGCTCCTCGATGAGTATAAGGCTTCTGATGAAAAAAGGAGCTCTCTGTCTGCCCCCAGTCCCACTCTGGATTCCTGTTTTAGAGTGGCAACTTTTGCCATACTTGGCTGTTTTTCCTAAGATCTTCTATATTTATGAATAAAGTGGTTAAATTTCTATTTTCATTTTGCACATTATCTCTTCCTACTATGAATCATGTCTTTCTTTTTGTTTTTCTCTTCCTGTCCAGTTCTCTCCTCTTTGCCCTGAATAGAGACGTAGCTATAGAGTTACCCTCTGCCCTTTCCTCTACATTTCCACTTACCCTCGGTGTCTTGATGCTGTGAACTCCCACAGTTTAGTTTTTCTGGCTACCAGGGGTCTACTCCAGCATCTGAACTTGCCCGCAGGACATTTCTACCTCAATTACTACTTTCTTCTTAAATTCAACATGCCCAAGAGCAGGCTTACCATAAATAGGGCGGACAGTAGTGGGAGCCTTCTGGAAGGAGGACCACCGTGGACATGGGCTGGCAATGGAAGGTTCCATGTGGGACCTATGGCTCGAGTTGGTGGCTGGGCAGCTCCAGTGGAACAGCAGTGGTTAGTGGCGGTGAGAGTTCATAGATCTTGGAGGGAGAAGAGAGACAGCCTGACCAGAGCAGACTCTGTGTGTGCCAGGAAAAAGATGTGGGAGTTGCACTAGTAAGTGGGTTAGCATCAAAGAGGGAGGGCATGGAACCCCAGACCAGAGAATGGGGACTTTGTCTCATGATGATGAGGAGCTAATGTCGGAAGAGACACAGTAAAGGTGGTGACAAAAGTTTAACCCAGCTATAGGGGCATTTTAGAGAGAAAGTGGGAAGACAGGAGATGAGAAGCATTCAGCTTTCAGTAGTTGAGAACAGGGCAAAAGGGACAGGGACAGTGTGCTCCCTGTGCAGACCAAACACTGCAAAGCACCCCACAAGCCTTGCTCCTTTGGCCGGTGACTGTACTTTAGGGTGTCTGCTCTGGCTGCTCCAGCACGTAGGACCCCAGGATGAGAAAGAAGAACAGGTGTTGTGTGTTTTCTTCCCAGCTTGCCTCTAAGACCTCAGAATGTGTGGGAAAGTCTCACACTGTATACTCTGTATGCACTGTATACCAAGTCCAAAGATCAAAGAGATCAAAGAGCAAGACAGTAATTTCCTTAATATATAAGGAAAGAGAAGGGGAATCTGGTTTGCTGGAAAACAAGAGTTAGATATGCCAGGAGCCACATGGGCTCTGCCCCATTCCTGCTCTCTCAGGCCTTCTCTCTCGCTCTCGCGCTCTCTCTTTCTTCTTCTTCCTTTTCTCCTTCTTCTTCTTCCTCCTCCTTCCCCTTCCCCTCCTTCTCCTTCTCCCTCTCTTTCTTCCCTCTCCCTTCCCTTTCCCCGTCCTCCCCTTCTCACTCTCTCTCCCTTCCTCCCGCCCTCCCCGCTTCCCAGGGACTTCACACTGAGTTACATCCTAGCCTATTTGTTTATTCAGACAAGTTCTAAGTTGCTAAATTGCCCAGACTGATCTCCATCTTGCAGTCCTCCTGCCTCAGTCTCTCAGAGTGACAGGACTACAGGCATGTGCCAACATGTCTGGTTTCTCTCTCTCTATCCTCTCTCCCTTTCTCCCTCGAACTGGCATCCACATTTTCTTTAAAGATCTGCCACCATATACCATTTCTTGGGGTTCCTGTCCTCCAAGATGGGTTATACAGCAGAAATCCTCTTTACTGCTGTCTTCTCTTTCCCAAAAACACTTACTAAACACCTCCCCCCTCCCAACAAAATAACCCAGCCTAAAGGCCTTCTCTGGTTTTATGAATTATATGGCTCCGGAGAAATATTAGTAGGCTGTCAAGAATATTTAATGTAAGGACATTCCAAAGGTTGCTGAATCCCAGAATATTATAATAGTCAATGCATCTGCTCTACATACAGTTCTTGCCTTCTTTTTGTAGATAACCAAAAAATTGTTATGATTGCCTCTTTTTCCCTCAACCACTACCCATTTGCAAATTGTCCCTCTGTTGGTCATGTGTTTTTGCACGCAAGTGCAAAACTTTAAGGGGGTGGTAGGCTCTTTTTTCTGTAAAGTTTTTATAGAATAAAAATGAACTTTGAAGAGTTTTCATCCACTCAACCCAGCTGAGGAGAGTGAGGTAATCCTAGGACAATTCTTTCTACTGTAATTTGGGTATAGACCAATTGGAAAACGTAGTTAAAGCTATGGCATTTCACCTCAAGAAAATTCCCAGCCCTACACAATTACACATTCAATTTTGGGGTTTTATGAACACCAAGGTGAAAACCTCAGGTTTACAGTAGCATCATACTTTGGAAAATTCCTAACAAATAGGCCCCTTTTACTTTCTTCTGTCCCCACAGCTCCTGCCTGAAGAGTCACTAAGGCTTTTTTTCCAAGGATGTCAAAAACAAGCCACACAGGGCTTCAAGCTTTACATGCCACAGGGTCGGTACTGGAGGCTTCATCTCTGTCCTGGTAAATTTTCATCCTAGATTCTCCTTCCAGGGTCCTCAGGGGGTAATAGCGTCCCACTCCTTTCAAATCCTGGCCCCACACCTCTGCCTCCATTCTTTTTTTTTTTTTTTTTTTGGTCTTTTTTGAGATGGGAATCTCCCTATGCAGTTCAGGCTGGCCTTGAGCTCACTTTGTAGCCCAGGCTGGTCTTGAACTCGCAACAATCCTCCCGCCTCAGCCTCCCGAGTGCTGGGATTACAGGCGTGAGCCACCATGCCCGCCTATGCCTCCATTCTTCACCTTCTGTGCTCTCACCTCCTGAGATCTTAGCCTCTTCTCCCAAACACTCCATTTAGGGACCCATTGGATCGTCACAGCCTCATATTGTCTCCTTTCTTTTCTCTCACTCTAGAAGTTCCCCGAGTTCCTAGTGAGTATGCTAGGCTGGTGGTTCGCACTGTACTGGAGCCTGTGTTGCAAGGAGTGCAGGGTCTGCCACTCCAAGCCCAGGCCCTCGCCCTCAGTCAGGCGCTGACAGCCATCCTGGGTGCCTGGCTCAGTCACATCCTTACCCAAAGGATCCGGTTCAGGTGGGGAAAAAAAGGCAGCAGTGGCAGGGGGATGAATGGAACTGGGGAGAAGAAGGGGGATAAACGGTGGAGGAGCGGGAGAGGCTGGAGGAATTAGGTGGCCACCTTGTACTGGATATTCAGCCTGCAGGGGGCGCTGCAGCTCAGACAAGACTTTGGAGTGGTCAGGGAGTTGCTGGAAGAAGAGCAGTGGGACCTGTCCCCCGAGCTTCGCCAGACTCTACTCACCCTCAGCATCTTCCAGCAGCTGGATGGGGCCTTGCTGTGTCTACTGCAGCAGCCCCGGCCCAAGACTCGAGTCCACAGGAAGTACTCTTGTTGTTGTGAGTCATTTTCTTTATCCTGCCTTCCCAATTGCCTCTAGTGACCCACACCCTACCTACGTTTGATCTAGTTTTAACACCCCACTATCAGCCACCTGCCTGCCACTCCATTCCACCCCCCTGCTTTACCAGGTGTTTGTAATGAGGTCCAGACCATGGGATTGGCCGGCAGCAGCCTCAATAGCCTGGAGAACTTGGAGTCTTCTCTACAGCCTGGAGGGCCCTCAGCCCAGACAACCCAGTTTCAGAGCACTCTGGGGGTTGGGAGACCTAGTCTTGAAGCTTACTTGGTAGGAAATCAGCAGGCCTGGCTTGCCCTCAGGCAACACCAGGGCTCCCGCTGGTGCCTGCCTTTTCTTTCCTGCCTGGGGAGGAGTCCTGAATCTTAAGGGGAGAGGACGAAGAGGACTGGAAAACCACAGACATTGTTATTTCAAGAAGCCTAGGCCTGAGAGCTTAGAAAAGAGTATACATAAACTACATAGAACCTGGAATTAGCAGCGAACAGTCCAAGGTTACTCTAGTGCCTCTAATCCCCATGAAGAGCAAAATCACTGCCTGCAACGTGGAGGTCAGCAACCTGTGGGGCCCAGGCTTAGTTCCCTCTTCTGAAGAAATCTCAGGGCTAGAGGGTTAGATCTCAGGAGAAAGGAAAAAAAAAAAACAATATAAAAGAAGCTAGATGGTACTTCCTCATAAATCCCAGGAACCGGGCTAAAATAGTTTATTCTTGGAGAACCACAGAGGGAATAAGCACGTGGATCACTCCCAAGGAATGCCTGATCCTGTGTTTCCTCTCCATGACTATTTTTAGTCATCTAAGAATATTGGGCTATGGGACCTTCTGTTTAAGCTTTGGTTATTTGGTTACCTGAATGGAATTTACCTCCTGGCAGGCAGATAAGCACTGCTACGGTAGTGTCATCTTTGAAGGAGCTAGAATTTAAACTGGCCTTAACCTAGATGTGGCACAACAAAATACGGAAAGAGAAAGCCTGCAGCCGCAGAAGACAGAAGTGTTTTTGATGCAAAAGCGTTTTGCACTATTATTTTCACAAGTACAAGTGGACCTAACCATAGGTAGTATTATGGGACCTGGCATGCCCCGTAACGAAATCATCTCCTCCCCTCGGGCTGCGGAGCCGGGGCGTCAGTTTGGAGACACACAGCCGGGAAGTGTCTACTCCAGAGAAGCAGTGTGTGGCAGAAGATTCAGGTCAATTTTCCGCATCCGTATCCCAGCAACACTTTAGGCTGCTGGAGTCCTTCCGGGGCGGAGGTCATCATGGCGGCGGCCATGGCTCGGCTCGGTCTGCGGTCAGTCAAGCACGTTCGGGTTCAGTTTTGCCCTTTCGAGAAGAACGTGGAGTCCACGAGGTACCGGAGAGGGTGGGGAAGGGCTCCGCCTTACACCTCCCTCAGCCTTAGCGCTCACACCGCCTTCCCTCCCTCGTAGGACCTTCCTCCAGGCGGTGAGCAGCGAGAAGGTTCGCTCCACCAATCTCAACTGCGCGGTGGTTGTGGACGTGAGGCATGACGGCTCTGAGCCCTGCGTGGACGTGCTGTTCGGTGGGCATGGGTGGGGAGATGGGCAGGAGGGGCGGCAGGCTCCCCAGCCGCGCCGTGCCCCTGGGTGCCTGACTCCCGTGGTTGCCTCTTCCCAGGAGACGGGCATCGCCTGATTATGCGAAGCGCCCACCTCACGGCTCAGGAAATGTTCGTTGCCTTCGCCTCCCACGTCCAAGCCAGAAGCGTTGCAGAGAGCGGGGAGAAGCCAGGAGCTGGTACTGGGCGCTGACAGCGAGGAAGAGACCAACAGATTGATTTTGACTTAGGACTAGGAAACTTACCTGAGAAGACGTTGATTTAAACATTCAAGTAATTATTGGAGGGCTACGGAGAGGCTAGGGACCGGGTCTGGGGAGCTGCAACACTTCTGGGGCAAGATGGGGTGTGACGGGTCTGGACAAACCGAGGCATTTTTCACTTTATCACTTACAGTTCAACACCTGAATTTGGCCTTTTCCACCACTCAAAGTACCTTTTTTTTTTTTTTTTGGTACCAGGGATCGAACTCACCACCTCGTGCTTGCCAGGCAAGCACTTATGCTGCTGAGCTTTTTTTTAAAACCCAAACTAGTTTTCTCCGTTCCCATCTTCCTTAGTGGTTTCTGCTGCTCTTAATTCACCCCCTCGTGAAAGCTGACTTCCTCTTGAATCTTTCTCTTTTCCTAACTATAAAGGCATGTTATCCTCATCCTTCTTTTTATTTTCTTTATCTCTGGGACATCCTATCCTCTGTATCATAAACCTTGCATTTCTGTTTGGTTCTTCTCAACTTGTATGCTATAGTAAGTTAACGCACTGTCAACTTCCTCCAAATGCCACCAACAAGCTTTGTGTAAAATAAAATTGATAATCATACATGTATATATGTTTGCCTCATCTACCTGTCTTCCCCATACTTTTTAGAAAGGTTATTCTGGCCTCTTTGCCTGTATATTTCGTCTATGAGTACAAAATAGTGTGTAATTTTTAAAATCTCTTTAAAATGATGTCTCCATTCCCACTCATTGTCTTGTATCTCTGTTGCATTCTTTTATCTGCTCTTCCTTTTTCTTAATCATTTTTGCTGCATAATTTTATCTTTCCAAAGCACATGACTGTGGTGACCTGAAACAAACAGTGCCGCCTAAAGTGAATTGGTTTTATTGGCCTTGTTTCTTGTTTTGTTTTGTATTTTTGGTCTTTTTTGAGACAGGGTTTCATGATACAGTTCAGGCTAGCTTTGAACTCACTATGTAGCCCAGGCTGGACTCGAACTAGCAGCAATCCTTCTGAGTGCTGGGATACAGGTGTGTGCCAGCCATGCCTGGCTTCAAGTAACTTTTCATTAACAATTAATGTGGATTGGGGCTGGGGATTTAGCTCAGCAGCATAAAGCGCCTGCCTTGCAAGTGTACGGTTGAGAGTTCGGTCCCTGGTACCGATAAAAATGAAAAAGACCAAAAAAAAAAAAAAAAAAAGAAAGAAAGAAACAATTAGTGTGGATCATGAAATGAATTTAAAGAATTAAATCAACCTTCAAAAAGTAAAATAGTAAAATTTTTCAGAGTGCATGTTACATGGACTTAGAAGTATTCTTTCTGGAAACTATAATTGTGCTGTGTGTTTGCGTGTATTGGATTATTTCTTACTGTGGATTATAGAAAGAAAAAAAAAAAAAAAAAAAAAGGTAAAATCTCCTGCCATAGAGAACTTCAGAATGCCCAGCTAGGCAAGCAAAGATCTTTTAGACACTGGCTGTTACTGATTTGGCCAAATACATTTCCTATGACCCTCCAATACCATTACTACTTTTCTGCCTAAATGTGTTCAAAGCATGTCTCCCTGCACCCCACCTACCTTTAAAAACTACTCGGCAGCAGTATAGTGCAACAACCAGCCAGAGTGCCTAAAGTTGAAATTGCAGTTCTATCCTTAAGTAGCTGTGTCACTTTGGATAAATTAATCTGTCAGTGCTTGCTTCCTCATTTGCAGTACAGTTGGCCCTCTATCCATGAATTCTCTGTGTTTGGATTCAGTGATCCTCAGATTGCAAATATTTAAGAAAAATATACATAGCTTTTTTTGTTTGTTTGTTATTTTCCCCTAAACAATACAGTATAACATACTTACATGGAATTAGGTATAAGGGATTTAGAGATAACAAACTATGTGGGAGGATGAATGTAGGTTATATACAAATACAATGAAGTTTTATGAAAGAATTTGCGAATGGGCCATGTAAGGGATTTTTAGGGGTTCTGGAACCAATCTTCCATGGATACTGCACAATAACTGTGCCTACTTTACAGAATTGAAAGGATCAAGTGAATTAACCATAAAGTGCCTACAGTGCTGTTAGAAATGCTATGTAATTATTCAAGAGGATTATTCTACAATGAAAATAACACAACCTGCATTTGGCTCCCTACACCATTCTGGTATTTCTCTTTTTTCCAGTTTTTTTGGGACAGGGTCTTGCTATATAGTGCAGGCTGGTCTTGAGCTCACTATGTAGCCAGGCTAGCCTCAAACTCATGACAGTCCTCTTGCTTCAGCCTCCTGAGTACTGGGATTACAGGGGTGTACTATCCTACCTGGCCCCTTGCACCATTCTGTGCCATTCTTTATCTATAAAAATGAGAATGGTTCAACAAAGAGTGGATGCTGGTAACAAGTTTATAGATTATGATCTTGGAGGAGGATGTTTTTGAGCTGGACTTGCTGTGTACTCCAGCCTGACCAACTCTTGGTGATCCTCCTGTCTCAGCCGCTGGAGTTCTGAGATCACAGATGTATACCACCAAGCCTTAGATTATGAACTTGAAGGTGGTAGTTTTCTGTGTCCCCAGCATCTTGCATACAGGTAATACAGGTACAGTAAATATCTGAATTTTCAGGTATTTGTGGAATTCTGCTGCTTGTGGCTATGACTAGTCTGGGTAACTCAAACACAGGTATGTAGCAGGTACACAGGTATGTGAACCAAGTACAACAGTAACAAGAAAGTAACAGGACTGAACACTGGGTTTGCTCAGGTAACTGTTCAGTGAATAAGAAGTACATCAGTGGAGAGTAGGGTCAGGAGTCGGATTATAGTGAAATGTAAATGGGTATATTGCATTAGTGTTATGATGACAAAAGGTGTATTGCCCCATGTACATGTACCAACTTCCTACAAGGAATGTAACCATTTGGGGAGGAATCTCACTATATAGTTTAGGCTATCCTTGAACTCACTATAGCCCAGGTTGGCCTTTGAACTCACTGCAGTTCTCCTGCCTCAGCCTCCTGAGTGCTAGGATTTCAGGCATGTGCCATCACACCTGGCTAACTTGTGACTATAAACAAAAATTGAAAAAGTATAAAAAATCATTTGTATTTAAATTTTAATAATGCATCTAATCTGATTTGCATGGCAATATATATTTAACAACATTTTTTAAAAGCTAAAATAATGATTGTGGGTAAGTGTGACAATTGCTAGAGGGACACCAAGGATATACACCAAGCTGAGGGGACACAGTAGCATACACTTGCAATCCCAACACCCAGGAGGCTGAGGCTGGAGGATCGCCTTAAGTTTGAGGCTGGCAAGGGCTGCACAAGACCTTGTCTCAGAAACAAAAAACAAAACAAACAGGCTGAAGATTTAGCTAAGTGGCAGAGCATGTGGTTACTGCCCTGTGCAAGACATGGAACTCAATCCTCAGCATACACATTCACCACACACACAGTACAGACAGAATAAGGTTTTTGTTTTGTTTAGCATGGGATGGACTTCTTTATGAAAATACTGCCCTCCCCTCAGTACTAGGGATCAAATCCAAGACTGTGCAGAGGTCATCCCAGCCCTTTTTTGATTCTTGTATTTTGAGATGGGGTCTCATTTATAAATGTTGTCCAGACTTGGCTTGAATTTGCATTCCTGCTTCAGTCTCCCAAAGTACTGGGAAAATAGCTTCTATGTTGCACTGTGAGTGAGAAGGTAACTAGAATCTAAATTGTACATGTGAACTACTATCAAAGGTAATGTTGAAGTTTCTAGATCAATTTGAGGTACATATAGTATCTCCACATTATTGTTCTAAGCTATTGTTTGCCTAAGCTTCTCTTGTTTCTTAGGGCTGTAGGGGGTTAAATACCTTTTACTAAGTACAAGCACCATTATTATGAGCCAAAGCTCTTTAGCAAGCTTGCAGCCTGAGGGCCACCTACCCTTTTTAAATGTTATAATAAAAATAAGTAAAAGAGAAGCTTTGTAGCTTACATTATATATTCTCTATGTGGCCCAAAGACAATTCTGTGTTCATTCAGTATAGCCTAGACAAGCCAAAGAGTTGGCGATTTGCTTAAAGAATTGTACGCTGAAGGGCTGGGGTTGTAGCTTGGTGGTACAGTGCTTGGCTAGCATGCACCGGCATTGGGTTGCAGTACAGCATTAAAAAAAACAGCAACAGGGGCTGAGGATTTAGCTCAGCGGCATAAGCACCTGCCTTACAAGCAGGCGGTCATGAGTTCGATTCCTAGTACTGATAAACATGAAAAAGACAACCACCCCCCCCCCCACACACACACACAGCAACAACAAAAACGTGTCTTTCAGAGTCAAGGGATTCCTGGCCAAGAAGCAAAAGCAGAATCACCCCCTTCCTCAGTGGATTCGGAAAAAGGACTGGTAAAATCAGATACAACTCTTTAAGAGGAGACACTGGAGGAGGGCCACGCTTGGACTAAGGAATTACACATGAGCTGCAGCATATCTACTCTAGAAGGTCACAAGATGATACCTTCTTTATCATGGTCAGGATTGTGTCACCATATGAAGCTTAACAAATACCACTGGCAGGACATTTGAAGATGCTTAATCAAGAATCCTGTTCTTTTTCTGTGACCAGCACTAGTGAGTCAACAATAAATGTCTAAAGCCTTAAAAACCACACACAAGATTGTATGAAGTGGCACACGCCTGTAATTCCAGCACTGGGGAGGCTGAGGCAGGAAGATTGTGAGATGAAGGCAAGTTTGAGCTACATAGTTCAAAGCTAGCTTCAACTACACGGCGATACACTGTCTTAAAAAAGGCAGATAAGACTTATCTAAAGTCACGGGATGACTTAAAGATAGCTAAAACCAGACCCCAGATCACCTCTTTGACCCTGTCTCTGCCCCACGAGGAAAAAGACGCAAGGTGAGCAAAGTGATACAGCTTGGTTCAGATACACCTGCGTTCGAGGCCGGTCACTTCCCAGATTGGGTCTGAGCAGTGTTACTTGTACTGTACTTTCTAGGCTACGGTTTTCCTCCTAACTTGAGGCAGGAATAGCGCCTCGTGCTAGTACATAACTGTATCGACGCCAATAAAACGCAGTGGCAGAGTGCGCGCGCCTTGGAGCCCACGCGGGGACCAGCTCTCCACCCGGAGGGCGACAGCGCTTCCGGTCCGGGGGTGGGGGGCTTGGCCTGACGTGGCGGGGCGGGACTTCCGGCGGGAGGTGTCCACCCGCCGGGAGGGCGTGCGTGCGGGCAGTGCTGATAGGTGATTACTGCGGCTCAGACGCGAGCCGGAGAGCCAGGGCGTGCGGGCAGTGAAACCTGGGTTCCACTGCCACCTCTGTATTCCCGCGACGCTGACACGGCGACTAGGATGGCTCGAGGCGAGCGACGGCGACGCGCTGTGCCGGGAGAGGGAGCGCGGACAATGGAAAGGGCACCTCGCGGCGGCCCCGCACGACGCGACGGCCGGGGTGGCGGGGCCCGTAGTGCGGCCGGAGGAGCGGCTCTGGCGGTCGTGGTGCTGTCTCTGGCTCTGGGCCTATCGGGGCGCTGGGCGCTGGCTTGGTACCGTGCTTGGCGGGCGGTCACGCTGCATTCTGCGCCTCCAGCGCTGCCCCCGGACTCCTCCAGCCCCGCGGTAGCCCCGGACCTCTTCTGGGGCACCTACCGCCCTCACGTCTACTTCGGCATGAAGACTCGCAGCCCGAAGCCCCTCCTCACCGGTAACCGGGCCCCGGGGCGGGCAAGCAGGCGGACTGTGAGCCTGGGCGCCCCGGCTTCCTGCCAGAGCAAGAGCGGGGAGGCGTGAATCTGGAGATATACGCCTTCCTGCCAGAGCAAGAGCGGGGAGGCGTGAATCTGGAGATATACGGAGAGGGAGGACCCCGAAGTTATTGGAGAACCGAGGGACAGGTCCCCTGCGCTCTTTGACTTACGTGGCCATTCTACCTCCAGGACTGATGTGGGCGCAGCAGGGGGCCACCCCAGGGACCCCTAAGCTCAGGCACACGTGTGAGCAGGGGGACGGCGTGGGTCCCTATGGCTGGGAGTTCCACGACGGCCTCTCCTTCGGGCGGCAACACATCCAGGATGGGGCTTTACGGCTCACCACTGAGTTCGTCAAGAGGCCTGGGGGTCAGCACGGAGGGGAATGGAGCTGGAGAGTGACTGTAGCGTCTCAGGTCAGGGCTCAGGATACCCCTTTCTCAGCCCAGACGCCCTCCATCCTTCCCTTGCTGGCGGCAAATGCAGAATGAAGTGGGGGTTAACAGCAGAGAAAACAAATCTGGCTGCCTCCCTTGAATACTGCCTTAAACACTTCTCTGTATGACCAACTCCCTACCACTTCTAAGCCTTGATTTCGTTTGTAGGAGATAGCACAAAAATGTACTATGATTTCCCAGAACCTTATGCAGGCCTCTTCTGGGCATTCTGTTGGGTGAACCTGTATAGCATTCTCAGTGTAGGAGATAGCACAAAAATATACTGTGATTTCCCAGAACCTTATGCAGGCCTCTTCTGGGCATTCTGTTGGGTGTACCTGCTGAGTACTGCCAGATGTATATTTACAAATTTACTCCTGCCAGGAGATCCCTTTCCCTCAGTAAGACTGATTTTCAAAAGAGATTACCAAGTAATGCTTTTTTTTTTTTTTTTTTTTCTATTTTCCTCTGTTGTCCCTTGTCACCTAGGCCTCAAGTACTTCTGCCCTCCCTTTGGTCTCCCTGTTCTTCTATGTGGTGACAGATGGCCAGGAAGTCCTAATTCCAGAGGTCGGAGCTCAGGGGCAGTTGAAGTTCATCAGTGGGCACACCAGTGAACTTGGTGACTTCCGCTTTACACTTTTGCCACCAACTAGCCCAGGGAACACTGCCCCCAAGTATGGCAGGTAAGTTGAGAAAGAGCTGGTGAAAGGAATGTGATGGGATACCAAGTGATAGGAATGGTGTGATCCCTCACACTGCCTTTTCACTAGTTATTTCCAGGCTCACCAGTCTCCTTGTTTCCTGCATTGGGGCCTCCCATTCTGATTCTCAATCATATTTCCTTTTGTAGCCCCCTTTCCCTGAATATTTTTTATTTGTCTTCTTGCCTTTAAGCTACAATCTCCTCTGGTCCTCCAACCCTGGACTGCCCCTGCTAACAGAGATGGTGAAGAGCCGCCTCAATAGCTGGTTTCAGCATCGGCCCCCAGGGGCCTCTTCTGATCGATATCTCGGCTTACCAGGATCTCTGAAATGGGAAGACAGAGGCCCAAGTGGGCAAGGGCAACTCTTGATACAGCAGGTGACCCTGAAGGTCCCCTTTTCTGTGGAGTTTGTGTTTGAATCTGGCAGTGCCCAGGCAGAAGGAAACCAAGCCCTTGGGCAGCTGGCAGGTAGCCTACTGACCCAGGCCCTGGAGAGCCATACTGCAGCTTTTCGGGAACGCTTTGAGAAGACCTTCCAGCTAAAGAAGAAGGGTCTGAGCCCTGGGGAGCAGGCATTGGGTCAGGTTGCTTTAAGTGACCTCCTAGGTGGGATTGGCTACTTCTATGGCCAGGGCCTGGTATTGCCAGATATGGGGGCCGAAGGGTCTGAGCAGAAGGTCGACCCAGCCCTCTTTCCACCTGTCCCTCTTTTCTCAGGGGTGCCTTCCCGATCATTCTTTCCACGAGGCTTCCTTTGGGATGAGGGCTTCCACCAGCTAGTGGTCCAGCGATGGGAACCTCGCCTCACTCGGGAGGCCCTAGGCCACTGGCTGGGGCTACTCAATGCTGATGGCTGGATTGGGCGGGAACAAGTACTGGGGGATGAGGCCCGGGCACGGGTGCCCCCAGAATTTTTGGTGCAACGGGCAGCACATGCCAACCCCCCAACCCTGCTGTTGCCTGTGGCCCACATGCTAGAAGATGATGACCCAGCCAATTTGGACTTCCTCCGCAGGGCATTTCCCCGCCTGCATGCCTGGTTCTCTTGGCTCCATCAGAGCCAGGCAGGGCCAGTGCCACTCTCTTACCGTTGGCGAGGCCGGGATACAGCCTTGCCCACCCTCCTGAACCCCAAGACACTGCCCTCAGGGCTGGATGATTACCCCCGGGCTTCACACCCTTCAACAACTGAGAGGCACCTGGACCTTCGATGCTGGGTGGCCCTGGGTGCCCGTGTGCTGTTTCGACTTGCACAACAGCTAGGGGAGGCTGAGGCAGCTGCTGAGCTGGGCCCCCTGGCTGCTTCACTGGAGGCAGAGGAGGGCCTGGATGAACTGCACTGGTCTCCAGAGTTAGGGGTCTTTGCCGACTTTGGGAACCACACAAAAGCAGTACAGCTGAAACCTAGGCCCCCTCAGGGACTGGTTCGTGTGGTGGGCCGGCCCCCACCTCGCTTACAATATGTGGATGCCTTGGGTTATGTCACTCTTTTCCCCTTGCTGCTACGGCTGCTGGACCCAAATTCACCCCGCCTTGGACCCCTGCTGGATGTTCTCGCTGACAGCCACCATCTCTGGAGCCCCTTTGGTTTGCGCTCCCTTGCAGCCTCCAGCCCTTTTTATGGCCAGCGCAATTCTGAGCATGATCCTCCCTACTGGCGGGGTGCTGTGTGGCTCAATATCAACTACCTGGCCTTGGGAGCACTCTACCACTATGGGCATCTAGAGGGTCCCCACCAGGCCCAGGCTACCAAGCTGCACAGTGAGCTCCGTGCCAATGTGGTAGGCAATGTGTGGCGGCAGTTCCAGGCTACTGGGTTCTTGTGGGAACAATACAGTGACCGGGATGGGCGGGGCATGGGCTGCCGCCCTTTCCATGGCTGGACCAGCCTTGTCTTACTGATCATGGCTGAAGACTACTGAGAGGGATGATGGGAAGCAAGCCAGGCCACTCATGTCATTGAATCAGGAGGGACAAAGTCTTTGGCTTCTGCCTCCAGTTCTTCAAATTCCAATCATTCAAACCTGTCTCAGCTCATCTCAGGTGTCTCCCGTCATCCCACATATCCCTGGGGTGAATGTGAACTCAATAGTCTATTTTTCTAAATAAACTTGGGAAAAACATACCAAACTATTGCTTTTGTTAGCTTTGCTTCACTATGTGGTCTTAGTCTGAGCTTTAAGGCCTCCTGCTATCTTTAGGGAAGCTGAGATAAACAGCCATTATCTGTCCCTTTCAAACCCAGTCAGACTGAGTTCTCCACAAGCAGCTGGTTCACATCTCTTTAATGAGATCAAGGCTCTTGTGTATGTTTTGGGGGGGTGGGTAAAGCTAGCACAGTCCCCCAGTATCACCCTTCACCTCAGGGCTTCAGCCTTTTCAGGCAAATTCTAAAGGGCTGGGAGGGGTTGAGGGGGATTTGACGTGGGACCACAGCTGTTTCTGGTGGGCAAGAGACCCACCTATCCTCCCATCACCACTTATGGGATGTCCCCTTCACTGGAAGCCAGCTCCACAGGAGAGACCTGAGGCGTGGGCTCTGGAGGCAGTGTACAGGGAGAGCAGTCCTCCACCTCCGGTGGTGTAGCACTAGCTCTCACCTCTTTGACTGGCTCACCTTTGCTGGAGTCAGGACAAGGACAGAGCTCAATACCCGAGTCACCAGTCAGGCGACGATAGCGACAAGAAGGGGGTGTGTGAGCCAGGCTCACCCCTGCCCCAGGCTCACCCTCCTGACGAGGGGGGGCACTCTGGTGGGAAGAAACACCTTCCACATTTGTCCCCTCAAAGTGGGCAGGGCAGCTGGATGCAGAGGAACAGCAGGTACATTCACTGGACGCAGTCAAGAGGTGGCCTGGGGCCATAGTATATGGAGGTGGTGGTGTGCCTGGGCGGTGAACCACATCCTCATAGGCTGGGGGTTTGAAGGCGCTGAGAAGGCCTGCAGGGGAGAGAATAGCATGGGTGGTTGAAGACAACTAGGGATGGGGTGGGGTGATCTCATATTAAGGAAAAGGGTGCTTTGAATGTCTGCAAAAGGAAATGGGATGATTCAGGGTGCTGGTTTGGGAGGGCCACTGGTAGTCCAGAGCCTCAAGTCACTCACGAAGGTCAAGCAGTGAGCCGGTAGGGACAGGGCCAGCCCCGTGGCATGCCCCATGATAGGCCAACAAGTTGATCTCACGCTGTCGCTGCTGTTGTTGCAGCCGAAGTTTAGCTCGCCGGTGGCGGAAGGCACAACAGCAACTAAAGAGGATGAGAACAGTCCAGAGGAGCCAGAACCCTGCAGGAGGCAAGACAGTATGTCTCAGATACCTCCCATGCACAGAAAGAGACCCTGCAGTTCCAAAGGAAGGTGGGCAGAAGGACCTGAAAACAGCCCTCCTAGAGACTCACACCAGAGCTCATAGTAGTATGTGCAGCAGCCAGTCTCCCCGCAGCAGTGACCACTTTCACAGAGGTAAGGCTGGTTGTTCACTCCTGGGCACAGCTCTCGAAGCTGGGGGCAAGGAGGCACTAAGAACAGGGCAGATTCTGGTCCAAGGCACTGTCTGCCCTCACCTATTGCATGCATATATCCCACCCCTTAGAAAGATGAAGAGAGTGGGAAATGCTAAGAGGATTGTTCCAAGTATCTGAAGACTGTCATGGAAGAGGATTTGGAATAGCAAGAGAAATGTCTAGAAAACAAACACGGAGTGCGAACATATTTTAGCTCTGCATTTGAGACATCTCTCACAATCCTGGCCCCTCTATGGTTTTTTCTCTTAATGGAATGTTTTGGCAAAGGCTGAGGGCAGACTGAGCTATCTAATGTGTCAGACAATGGGTTCGGATGTAAGGCCATTTCCAAAGCTAACGTGCTTTCAGCTCCCACCCCCAACCATATGCTACTCCGGCCCAAAAACTGGATTTTTCCACCTTTGGGTCTCAGGCTCCCTAGGGTAGAGGGGCAGTGTGAGACCCAGAGCAGTGCTTCCAACCAGATAGAATTGGTGTGGATGAAAAAGGATGAGATCCAGGGCGCGACTCCGGGTTCCGGCTCTTCTCCAATTCCAGCTCCCTCAAGAGAAGAGGCTGCCAGACTCTTGTGACAATAGGCACATAGGAAAAACATCACAAATAACTGCTGCAAGCCAGAGGGAACTTCCCTGGGGCCTCACTATGCCTCTGGTCACTGGAGAGTCACTTACTGCAAGCTTCCACTGCAGCCATGGGATGGAGTCTGAGGCTGCAGGTAAAGTCAACAGCGTCTATGTTGCAAAGTTTAAACAAAGAGTAGAAGGGACAAGTTTAGGAACTCCACAGTATCTTTGACTCCCTAAGTTCCTCTCTGTACCTCCCCTATTCCCCCAAAAGGAAAGGACAGGAGAGGGGAAAGAGAAATGGCTGTCGTGATAGGCTTTTGGAGCTGTTGGGATACCTGCTGTTGCGGCGCCCGAAGTGCCCCCCAGGCCTCCACGCTGCGGTTCCCGCTGCTGGCCCGAGCCATGCCTTCACCTACAGCCCCCTGAAGACCACAGCCTCCTCTACCGCCAGCTGCCCCGCCCCTGCCACCTCTGCCGCCACCGCCATGGTCCCTGCCCGGCCCATCTTCGCTGCAGCCACCATCACTCCGCGACCGGAGCTTCCACCCGGGAGAGCTCCTCCAACTAGAACCCAGGTTGCTCTTTCCAACCAATCAGCACCACCTTCTGATAAAAAGACCAATAGGAGCCGCCCAGAGATTTCTTCCCGTGACCAACCCGCATCAGCGCCTCCACCGCTCTCCCAGACAACAAGAGCTTGTACAGACAAAGACTGGGGAAACGTCCCACCCAGGTCGTGACTGACAGCAACAATAGCCAATATCAACAACAGAATGGGTTTTGACTTATTAACCAATGAATGGTCGCCCAGAAAAGCAAACTCCCGCTCATTGGCTTGAGGTAATTTTCGGGATGACGCCAAATGCCCGACAGTGGCGCCCAAGTTCCGGGTGCAGGTCCGCTGAGCTCCTCGAGGTCGTTTCCAAGCCTCAGGCAGGCCAAGATGTGTGTAATCAGAGATGAATCTGCCCATATCCCAGTACAAGCTGAGGCACTGAATGGAATTTAATAGGGGAGGGAAGACATCAAAAAGTGGACAAGGAGAGAGCATACAGTCTAGGTTTAGTAAGGTCCTTAAGTTGCTAGAAGAGGGGATCCCGGGCCCTCGGGCCCCCCCAGCCGCATCTGCAGGTTGATACGATAGCACTGCAGGCTGCAGAGCGCCTGACCCGTTCGGGAGCAGGCATAGCGGCGTGGGTGCGGGCACCCGGGGACAGAGCAACGTGGAGAAGGACCTGCTGGGGCTGGCCGCTGAGAAATTGCCGCGGGGGCGGGGACGCCAGGCGGGAAAGAAAGAGTGCAACCTTGGGCACCACTGCAGTAGCGCACCATGGGGGTCGGCGCTGCGGCCCGCCCTCCCCGCCGCTCGCCCCTTGCAGCTCCTCGGCCTCCCCGCCCACTGGGCGCAGCAGTCTTGGTGAGGCGCTCGATAGTTTGGTTCTTGTGTTCTTCTGCCCGCCGCGCTGCCTGCAGCCGCCGCTTCCGCGCCCGCTCCTCGCGCTTCAGCAGCATCTCCTCTGTGAGGGCAGGGGCCGGGCAGCCCGCAGGGACAGGGAGTGGCAGCATCGGGGAAGGCTGACTCCGAGCCTTCTGGAGCAACGCTCTCTGGGGAAAAAAGTGAGGGGATCTGAAAACGGAGAATGACAGAGGACAGGTCCACCAGGTGGAGGGAGGCAAAAGCGGGGGCAGGGAAGGTGGGTCCAGAAGGCATAGACCTCGAGAGGGAGTATCAGCATGTCTTTCTGGAGCCCTAAATACTGCTTCCTCCCAGGGTTCCCGATGCTCAGTTTTAGGACCTTGACTTTCAATAAGAAAAGCACGAGTAGAGCCAGGCGTGGTGGCTCATGCCTGTAATCCCAGCATTCGGGAGGCTAAGGCAGGAGGATCATTGCGAGTTTGAGACCAGCCTGGGCTACAAAGTGAGCTCAAGGCCAGCCTGAACTGCACAGTGAGACTCTGTCTCAAAAAAAAGACAAAAAAGAAAAGAAAGAAAGAAAGAAAGAAAGGAAGGAAGGAAGGAAGGAAGAAAAGCACAAGTAAAGATGCCTGCCTGCCCTGTGCACCAAAACTCTGTGCCACCCTTTCAGGGGCTGGTTTGTTTAATCTTTGAATCGAAATAGCATCAACGGGACAACCTTTCAAACCAGAATTTCAGGGTTACCCTTGATTCCTACTTTCTCCAGCCCTTTCCCAGCAAATATCTCCACAGTCCATCCAGTATTCATCTGATTGTCTCCATATGCACTGCCTTCCCCTTGATGCAAGCTACCATCCTCTCAGCTGAATACACTTAACCTCCCGCTTCCTAGCGGGTCTCCCTACTTTTAGCCCCAACCATAACTAAGACTTATTCTCCACAGGGAAGCCAAAAGAATCCAGTGAGATGCAAATCTAAAAATACATCTGCACACACCCAATCACTGGCTTAGCCATATTTTTCCTTATCCTTCATTTTGCTTGTCAAGTTCCAGTCAGTCTCATTGTGCCTGCTGGCTTTGTACCTGCTGGCCTTTCTGCTATTATTAGAAATAGTATCTTTTCAAAGATGCCTTCCCTGATTCCCCTACCTAATGTTGTCTTTTCTGCCACTATTTCATAAACTGTACAGCTTTTTGAAATTATTTAACTCTTATACTACACAAACACACACACACACTAGAATACTAATTCCAAAGAAACAGAAACTTTGTCTCTTCTCTCCCATTGATATCCTCACTGCCTAGCAAAGTGCTTGGGACATGGCAAGTTCTTAACTTACATTTGGGGAGTGAAAAAGAATGATCCAACTTACCTGCCGAGCGGTGAGCAGCCGCTCATTGATCTCCTTCTTGAGGTCTCCATTGTCATCTAGCTCCCCTTTCTCCAGGGCATCTAGCCATCTCTGTTCCTCCTCTTCCTCCTGGTCCCCTATCCCTCCTGACAGTTCCCGAAGCGGGGAGGGGGATAGATTACTGTCTTCATCTGGGTAGGAAAGTTGGAGAGACAAAAGTAACGTTCAGATGGGAGATCTTATTTTAATTTAATAATATTGGGATAGTCAAATTTCTCCCCCACTCAGAACCAGTCCCCTCCCCTTAGGTATAGTGAGAAACCCAGTTTCCCCACCTCCAGATCCCACTCACCCAGCCAGGCACGGTACTGCTCCAGGGGCACTCCCTCCATAGGTTCCTCTTCATTATCCACAACCATCAGGGGAGAGGGTGAGCGAGGCCCCTCAGGAATAACAGTGAAGGTGGGCACACTGCCGAGAATAAATACGAGAAGTGACTCCTGTTCACTAGCTCTATACAGCCTTCCCTAACCTCTTGTCTCGCTGCCTTCACTGGTCCTGAAGTCAGTCTATTCTCTGTCTTCTAGAAAGCTCAGCTAGCTTCTAACTTCTGATCGAACCCGCTCCTTAAATTCCTCAAATAAAACTATGATTAACTGACATCACCTCTTGGTGCCCAGGACCTGCCCGCCCAGCTTGATTTTGAGTTTGAGCTGGGGCTTGGCAGGAGACGGCTGTGTTGGCCCGGTCTCCTCTTCCTGATGATGTTTCTTCTTGTGTTTCTTTTTGTGCTTCTTGTGCTTTTTCTTGTGCACTCCGTGGCCGTGGGCACCGGTTAGGCTCAACTCCAGAGCCTCCCCTGAGGAAAAAGAGCCTGTCAACGCTGTTCGGCTGAACTGTAGCAGAGCAAGTCTGAGAGGTCCCACTCTTCCGACTTGTTGTTACCATAACAACAGCACCGCCTTTTCCCCTTCCCACCAGTGGCGAAGACCTCGGAAGCTCTGAGAGGAGAAAAGAGGCTCTTTTTTCCAAGAGGGTCTAAATTTGAAGGATCCGCGCTTACCCGGCTCGGGGGTCTCCATAGCCCCAGAGGTGCTCCCGCGCCGCCACAGCTTACTCATGGGATCCTGCAAGGAAAACGGACTGGAAATGCTCGGTACACAGGAGGATATGTCGTTTCCGCCCCGCAGAAGAATTAACTCCCACGAAATAATCGGCTACTTCCGTTGTGCGGCAACCATGCTTATGCGGGGCACGCTACGCAACCAAAGTCCTCCCTGAGAAACAACTATTCTTCCAACAAAAGTTCCGGCCCACCAAAGGCGGGGACTGCCCAAGGGGCGCGACTTTCCCTTAGCTCCGCCTCCTAGCTCTAGAGTCCAGAACTGCACAAGGGCTGGTCAATTATTACATGTGTAACTCGACCCAAGGGAGCAAGTGAGATTTAGGGGACACAAAGTTGAATATGAACACTGCTTCTGTTCCAGAGGAGCTCACAGTTTGGTGGAAAAGTACATAAACTATTGCCAGCAAAATGGCAGAAATGCTTAATAGTATAAATGCCTAAGAGCAAGGTAAGTGGCAGGAAAACCTAAATTTTTATCATGAGGGAAATGTGAATTATGATGCAGCTAAATAATCTGAGAATACCACATTGCTAGAGAAAGTTGAGCGACAATAAAACTGATACGTAATTTAGATTCTGGTCAGTAGTAATACTGTATTGGAAACAGTCTTAAGTATACTCATGATGGCACATCAAAACAAGTATGGTATGTCCCTACAATGGGAAGTTACAGAGCTGGGGGGGGGGGGTCAACCATCATGGCTCAGCCTGTAATCTTAGTACTTGGGAGGCTCAGGCAAGATCACACAGCAAGCTCAAGGCAAACCTGGGTTACATAGTGGAGTTCAAAGCCAGACAGAATATGTAGCCAAATTCTGTCTCAAACAAAACAAAACAGAACTGAGACTGCAGAAAGTTACCCAAGAAACCAGTGAGGGCATTGCTGATGGGTGTTAAAGGAACAAAGGCAGGAGACATTTTTCATACCTAGTGTAGCCTTTTGTGCCTATTGAATTTTGAATAATGCATGTGTATCCCCCCCACTTCCATTGTAGTTAACATAGGTTTTTATTTATTTTTTAACATTAACATTAAGTTTATTGGTACATTTTAGATATAAGAGATAGAAAGGGTCCCAAGGGTCTAAGATGGGATAAAACTATCATCAAATATGTCTTTCTTCCCTCCAATAAATGTTTTCTGCTCTTAACTTCCATTATTCATAGAATTTGTCAATTTTAGAGAACAGGAACTTGGCATTGGACATCTAGCAAACTAGCAGGGTGGGAGTTATAATATTTCCCTTATATTATTTGTATTATTGGGTGACCCTGTATCATTTGGAGGTCTCCTATCTAGCTATTTGGGTGGATGTAAGAGTTTGCTTTTGTTTCATAGGGTCTGGATTATAACTTGCTTAGATAATCAGAAATGTCATCCTTGTTTGTTAATTGTGCATGCTTTGAATTTTGTGCTTTGTCTTTGTCAGTTGCTTAAGCCTTGTCTCTTTAATGCATAGTCTTTTGTTAAAACGATGGTAAATTTGTTAGTCACATTTGGATTAGTTGCCAAATTTACTGGTGTACCTTGTTTGACTTTTTAGGCAATAGCACTAGGAAGAATAATATTAGAGTGACCTCTAGTGGGCCATGATATGAAATTCTGTGAAATGGGTCTTCATGAAATCTACTATGTATTTTATTTTATTTTATTTTTGTCTTTTTCCTTTTGATCGGTACTGGGGATCGAACTCACGATGCCCTGCTTGCAAGGCAGGTGCTTATACCGCTGAGCTAAATCCCCAGCCCTGACACAGAAATTTTAAAATGGACTTTAAAAAGCATATCCTTGTCTTGCTGCTAGAAAAGGTTGCCTACGTGATTAGATAAATAACAGGAATGTTTTAGAGGCTTCTCCACCCAAGGGCCCAGGACAAGATTTTTCTGAGCCATTTTTACCTATTTCTAGAGGTAGTCTTTTTTGCAGACTGAGAAGCACTCCAACTACTTACAATTCAGTCTCTTTTAAAGAGCTAGAAGGCAGCGATTTAGTGCTAAGCAATGCTTCCTTCATTAAACATGACTGTTACAATTGAGATCAATTGCAACTTGTGATGTATTTATTTATTTATTAGTTTGGTTTTTTGAGATAGGGTCTCATTATGTAGTTCAGGCTGGCCTGAGACTCATGGAAATCCCCCTGCCTCAGTCTCGTGAGTGCTGGGGTTATAGGCATGCACCACCATGCCCAGCAGTAATTTGTGCATTTAGAAACACCCTCTGGAATTAGCAATTTGAGTTCTCAGGAAAGATAGGATTGGGGAAGACAGGATAGATAATTTGGCCAGACCATCTTATGGTTTCTTTGCAGATGGCAGCCACCTGCTCTGGAGCTGATCACCTTAGGGGATGGCTTGGAGATATAAAAACCAAACAGAAGTTAAAGGGGCACCATTTATTTCTCTTACATTTTTCAGATGGGTTACTTGATATCAAAATATCTTGCTCCTTTGGAATGTATTCTTAAGCACTGGAAAAATGTTCAGCCCTAATATATTGAAAGAATATTTAATATTCTTCCACACAAGGCCTGCCTACTCTCTAGAGCCAAAATGGCAGAGAAAAGCTTTAATTGTGACACTCTTTTGCAACTAGAATAACATTGTAAGAAAGGAAAAAATGACCAGAATTACCTTATATTCAGACTATCTTTACATTAAGAAACAATTCTTATTTGTATTTAAATTATAATCATAAGCCATATGAGACTACTCACGTTCGTATGTCTTTTCCTCTCAGTAGCCTAAAACAGATCAAATGAAATCTGGGAAAGTTTTCAGATGACCTTGATAAGTACATTGAGGTCTTTAGAGGACTTAATCATACCTATAAATTGGGGAAATATAATGTTACTTTTAAATGAAACATTGACTTTTAGTAAGAGACAAGCAGCATTATTAGCTGCTATTACATTTGGAGATAAATATTTTTTTAAGTTTAGAAGGTCAGAAGACAGACAGCCAATAGAAAAGCCAGTTCCTACTGGAGACCAGGCAGTCTCTGTACAAGACCCCCACCGACCTACCTATCTGTTAGAGGGTTAGGATAGTAAACATTTCAGGCATGTATTCTTTTTTAAAAAAATTTTTGCTTTTGTTTTGGCTTTCTTTTTGATATAGGCTTTCACTGTGTACTACAGGCTGGCCTTGGCCTTGAACTCACTTATATAATCCATATCCCCCTCAAGCTAACAGTAATCCTTCTGCCTCAGCCTCCTGAGCACTAGGATCATAGTGTGTGACCACTCCTGGCCAGACATTTATTTTTTCCTTTTTTAATCAGTACCAGGGATCGAACTCACGACTGCCTGCTTGCAAGGCAGGCGCTTATGCCGCTGAGCTAAATCCCCAGCCCCCATTCCTTTTAATTTTTATAAATTATTCCTTTTAATTATGTCTGAAAGTCCAGTTCCCAGGACGGAACTTTATCTTGTCTGCATATTGCAATATATATGCACCCAATCAGGTATGCTGCCTCCACCTAGTACAGACAGAAATAAATCCTGAAGTATGGGCAACGAAAGGTAAAACAGAGCAATAAGAGCTCCTCTAGTACAACTACATCTCAAAAATTCTATTTTTCCCCACCAGACACCTTACCCTCTAAGGTCTAAAGTTAAGAAAATATTTTTTTTGTCTTTTTCCTTTTTATCAGTACCAGGGATCGAACTCATGACTGCCTGCTTGCAAGGCAGGCGCTTATGCCGCTGAGCTAAAACCCTAGCCCCAAGGAAATATTCTTGCTTATAACTGATAACCTAAGGACACAAGGTTTACTTAAAATTATAATAATCTCTTTCCTCAGATCCCCAAAGATGCTAGTGGTTTTCAGTGTTAGATTTAAAAGATTCATTCTTTTGTATTCTTTACATTACAGATTCCCAGTTTTTTTTTGCCTTTAAAAATCCTCATGACCAGGTCTCTCAACTACCATGGACTGTGTGTTCTTAAGTGTTCAGAGACAGTCACCATACTTTTTGTGGAAGAGCTTTCCCATGACTTGGTATGTTTTGAAGTTTCCCAAGTCACAGTCTTGATATAGATGGGTAATACACTGTTATGTACCCCCTCAGAAGAGCCCTCTAGCCAAGGCACCTGTGCCTTGCTTAACTTTCTTTTTTTTTTTTTTTTTTTTTGTCTTTTTCGTTTTTATCGGTACCAGGGATCGAACTCACGACTGCCTGCTTGCAAGGCAGGTGCTTATGCCGCTGAGCTAAATCCCCAGCCCCTAGCCAAGGCATCTGTGCCTTGCTTAACTTTCTAGCAGACAAAAATGATAGGATTTCTAGGTCTAAAACACAACTGTACAGCCTTGAGATAAAATATTTCGGTCTTGTCATATCTAAGTGAACCAGAAGGCTGGGAGAAGAGAGAATTAAACCAATTCCCTTCCTCCCGCAGCCCAAGACTATAATAGCTAAGAGTATTCCTAGGAATTACAGGCTTATGTTACCTTTAGATAACAAGTTATGAAATTTCACAACCATGTTTTAGCTTATAAAAGAAACCCAAAAGGCTGATATACATTTTGATATGGGGACCAGATTCTCAAATGCATTCCAGAAGCTTAAACAAGTGCTAAATGCCCCAGTACTGAGCCTACCAACTGGACACTGTCTCAATTTGTATGCTGATGAAAGGTGGGGTGTGGCTTTGGGAAGATTGGGGACCTGATCAGCAGTCTGTAGGGTATCTGAGTCATGAATAGTAAAAAAGTGGCCTGCGTGCCTTAGCACTGTGGCTGCAGTGGCACTTCTGGTAGTGGAGGCATCCAAGCTGACCTTAGACAAAGGTCTCGTTGTATCCACAGCTCACAGTGTGGCAGGACTTCTTTCCTCCAAAGGGAACCTATTGTTATCAGACAACCAACTTCTTAAATACAAGACTCTGCTTCTAGAAAGACCAGCCACTCAAATAAAGACATTTTCCTCCTTAAACCTTGTCGCCTTTCTACCAGGAAAGGAGGAAATTGAGGCTGAAAGACGTGACTGTGAACAGGTAATTCTCTATATGTATGCAGGCAGGGAAGACTTACTAGACAGCCCCTCCCTGACCCTCTTTGGGGATATCAGTTCCTCCATGGAAAATGAGACAAAAGGACAAAATATGTAGTAGTGACTTTACATCAGATGC